TTGATATGTAGGCATCTCTCCAACATATGAAAGACACTGACCATTTCTCACTAAGGCCAGTGCTAGGCTAGAATATGGGAGTCTATACTTGATAAACATCTCAGATGGGATCCAGACATACCTACAACATAGGTATTTTCCTAATTGATACATATGTAACCTTGGAAGATGCGAAAACGGTTTAGGTACTTTATTTATCTTCCATGAACGCGGGAGTACACTCCCTGTGTTGTATGGGGCAACCGTATCTCTCACAGGACTACTTAGGTACCCTCGGCCTCGGATTCTTTTCCGCACTGCCCTACTCGGCAACCCCTACCGGTCTTCTCCCCGAATCAAATTGGTCCATTGTCTCTCCATTGCCTCTAGATTGGGCAGGATGGACCCCGAAAGATGATAGCAAGCCCTTCGTGAGGGGCCGCTGCCCTCTAGGACGCTACGTCGGAAGCAACCCGCCCTCCCAAATGATAGGGAAGAGAGAAATTCAGATTTCTCCCTGACTCACTCTTTGAGTCTCTAATGTACCTCGTTGCTGTTGGCTTGCTTGGACTCAATACATTCACTTCAATTCCTTCTTTTTTCCCTACAATTCCAATTGAAAACTTTGCCGTGCATTTACGGATGTATCCGACGAGTATGATCTCGGAAAGAAGCCGAATTTGAGAACGATTGCGAAGAATTCTTTCTTTCTTCTTTAACTTCTCTCTCTCTCTCTTTTCGTAACTTGCATCTGCGCCACGAGAAGATCGGTGCTGATTTACCATAAGCTAGCAGGACCTAGCTCTTGCTAAAAGATTCCCGCCATGTCTCCAACTGCATCAAAAGCTTCCAGCGAGGAGAGGCGGTCTCAGTCCTGGGCGAATGAAACCGAAATCCAGAGATCTCAATCCCGGCGTTCACAACGAGAAGGAGCTGTGAATAGTCTTGACCACGTACGGAGTCATGTTTCGCATCATGACATGGCTGTCAATGATGACTTCCAGGAGGTCGATGCGGAGCAATATCTACGCTTTTCACCAGCCCGCAAGGTGGTCATCGTTGGTGTTCTGTCATTTTGCTCTTTCCTGGCACCTATCTCCTCCACCTCTATCTTAGCTGGCATACCCGAAGTGGCAAAGACCTATAACACCACAGGAAGTGTGATAAACGCGAGCAATGCGTTATATATGGCGTTCATGGGCATTGCGGCTCCCTTCTGGGGACCCTTTAGTCAGGTCTGGGGGCGACGCATGGTGAGCAATGAGCAGATGTCCATATTGGAGTAACAGCTAATTGGGAGTAGGTCTTCCTTGTGAGCGCATTCTTATTTTTCGCGTTCAGCATCGGCACGGCGCTAGCACCCAACCTTCCAGCTTATTATATTTTCCGTGTCTTGACTGCATTTCAAGGAACATCTTTCTTGGTCGTCGGGAGCTCAGCGCTGGGTGATATATACGAGCCTCGAGCACGCGCAACAGCGTTGGGGTGGTTTTTGTCAGGAACCCTAATTGGGCCAGCCTTTGGTCCATTCCTTGGTGTATGTGTACTCTATACATCCAGCGTTGAGGCAGCGTGCTGACCTACGGATTTAGGGCGTGATCGTCACATTCCGTTCATGGCGAGTGGTCTTCTGGCTCCAGTCTGCTCTTGGAGGCTGCGGCACGCTTCTAGTCTTCTTCTTTTTCCCCGAAACCTACCCGCATCTGACCAAAAGCGACATGGCCGACAAGACGATGTGGCAAAAAGCCAAATACCTTTGGCACCGGATCTCTCCCCTCCAAGTTGCTATTATGCTATTTAAATACCCTAACCTCTTCTGCACGGGTCTTGCTGCCGGTGCTCTAGTCTGGAACCAGTACTCTCTCTTGACTCCGATTCGATACGTACTCAACCCACGCTTCAACCTCACCAGCCCTATCCAGACGGGACTGTTCTACATCGCGCCAGGCTGTGGGTATCTTGTTGGCACACTCATGGGTGGAAGGTGGGCAGACCATACTGTGAAGAAATGGATCCGCAAGCGCGGTGGTGTTCGAGTCCCCAAAGACAGACTGAAGTCTTGTCTGATATCTTTGGGTGGCGTCATTCCCGGCTGTATCTTGATCTACGGTTGGACGGTCGAGAAGGCTGTTGGTGGAATCCCAGTCCCCGTCCTTGCGATGTTCTTCCAGGGAGTGGCGCAGCTGTTCTGCTTTCCTAGTCTCAATACCTACAGCCTGGATGTTATGCAGTCGAGCGGCCGGAGTGCCGAAGTCGTTGCCGGTAGCTATCTGTTCCGGTACGTGTTCGGTGCTCTGGGGTCTGGACTTGTTCTTCCGGCGGTAGAGAGCATGGGGGTGGGGTGGTTTAGTACCATCAGCGCTCTATTTTTAGTTGCGTCTGGGGTCGGAGTATGGCTCACGACTGTTTTCGGTGGTCAATGGCGGGACAAGGTCGAAAAGAAGAACCAGCGTAAGGCTGAGGAGAGAACCGAAGAGATACAACAGGACACGACAAAAGCTGAGACTTGAAGGTCCAACTTTGGGATATTTCATTGGGGATATCCATGCAAGACTTAATAATAGAATGTGTTATGATCAAAACAGAGACAGAGACAGCATAGAATAAAAAGCTCAAACGTGCCAAACATACGCGCGCTTATTCACTCGCTAAAGTGCTTGCGTGCTCGTTTGCACTTCGGGGACGTCTTCGTTATGAGCAGGTTGCTTCCCCTTTGCGATATCATTGGGATCTAGTCCACTCTCCACCACGATGCGGTCTATCTTGCGCTGCTCGGTGAATTCCCGACAGTCCTCGCGACCCTTTTTGATGTCTACAAAGCAAATAGTGGCCATTGCCGCGGCACAGATGGCGAACAAAAATGGGAAGCCCATCCAGCTATTGTGGGTATTGTTTATGATGGCTTGAATGACATTGGGACCGATGATTGAAGACTAGAAAATTAGTGAGTTGAAGGAGGAAATACGGCACCAACATATCCGACTTACAGCGCGGTTGGTTATTCCAAAAAGCGCAAAGAACATATTATCGTAGCCGCGTGGCATCAGCTCGCTGATCATCGTTTGGGCGTACTGGCATAATGTTAGAAACTAGTAGAGCCAGGAATGGTTGGGGACTATTCAAAGTCCCACCTACCGCATAGTATGGAGCCTGGAAAAGCCCGAAGATGACATTGTAGAAGTAAAATTCCCACTCCATGGCTGTTAGCTGTAAACTCCCAGTTGGGGTCTGACACATACCCTATTGTGATACCCGATGCGATTGGTCCATAGCCCCAGCATTCCCCAAAATGGGATTAGAACGCTGAAGAAGTTGGTGAACAAAAACATTGTCTTCGTCTTAAATTTGAAGTACCGTTGTATATACCAAAAGCCGAATGTCGAGGTGATTGAGCAGGCAGCTTGGGTAATGCCGAGATATGTAATCTGCAAGAAAGAAAATGAAACAGAGTCGTTTTGGATGATGCTGACGAGAGTCCCTATTGATCCATGTTAGTGAATTCTCTTGTCTTCAAGGGCGTATCAAGTCTCATTTTCAGCAGGTAAATAAAGAATGAACTCACCAGTAGTGTTGAGGCCATCGGCAAGAAGGAAATAGGCGAAAAAGTACAGAAACGTCTGTGGAAGCGACCTAATTTCTCGAATGGCCAGCCAGATCTGCTTGAACCCAATGGTGGTGTAGCTTGACCCTTTCGGTATCTTCGGACCTGGTCTTTTTTGCTGGAAAATAAACCACCAGATGCCGAGAATGACCCAATCTGTAGAGGGTTAGATAGTTCAGCTCTTCAATGGATTGCGCAGAAAACCCACATGAGTTGGTAAGACAGAGTGCCAGGTTATTCGAGAAACTGTTATTTTGGAGTGGAAGTAGAACGCTCAGGTTAAGCACGAGCGTGAGTAAGTATCCAATGTTGCTGTGTGCAGTTGAAATGTTGCTACTATTGTCAGCAATATCTCGAACAGAAGCTCAGGATGCCCCGACTCACCTGATATGATTTCTCTCCAGCGATTCAATAGTATCATATTCCTCCTGGTCGATCTTACCCTCTCTGAGATCCTCTTCTCTCGCTTTGCGCACATGCCGTGTATACCGTGCCAGACGGGGGAATACGGCAGCGTAGAATACCAACGTTGCGCCGTAGGCAATGTATGCCACCACGTACAGTCCCATCGCCGTTGGCCACTGACTCGGATGCCGGATGGACATCATACCATACTGCAGTGCCCAGCATACCACCGTCAATGCCAAAAGAAGCCATCGACCGAATGTTCCATAGTCCGCGGCACTTCCTAACCAGACGAATATCACTGTCATAAAAGTGAAGCAAAGGCCGTTGGCAATAAGAACCACTGACGATACTGATCTTGTGCCTCCCGCCCACGGCACTACACATGCCGATGAATCTGTACAGGCTTTAGGTGGATTCGACCCAGGTTGATGTCCGGCACCATTCAAGGCCCACTGGAAGCTTCATGGGATTAATTAGTTGGGAAAACCCAGGTGTTTTCATTGTACATACAGAGCTTGACTGTACGATCCCGGGCCGACACCGTTGTCACCGTTGTAATAGAGGTAATAGGACCAAAGTTCCTTCCTAGTGGTGGTTGGCTGCTCATACGCATCCTCGTCGACACCGAAGAGCCGTTCATACTCCTCTAAAGTGGGATGTGGCTGTGGGGTGGTCACATTAACCGTGTCGGTCTTGTCACTTTCTTGAATCTTAGCCATTGTTGGAAGTGTAAGGGGTGGACAACCCTTGATAGATATATACATGTCTCATCTGAAAGTTACCCCGCATCGCACTTATCTTTTTCAAAAATATCCCAAATATTGGCAAGAACTTCCAAGGCTTTTTTCACTAGATCCTAAGAGGTTAAGCTGAAATATCCCGTGTAAGCGCAATGTTGCACCTGGGCAGAGCAAGTGGGGGCAGATCAACTCGGATCCTTTGCAACGTCACCCCCGTTTGAACCATCTGCAACCCATGAAACTACCAAATACAATTCAACAATAAAGCCAAAATGGCTTCTTCAGATCTTCAAAAACAGGTTGGCCAGGTACGTGAGCTCTGAAACCCCTCTTTTGTGAATCTCACTGACGATCCCAGCTCTTCGCGGTGGGGTTTCATGGCTGCACCCCAAGTCCCGAAATCAAGACTTTGATTCATGACTACCACGTTGGAGGCATCGTCCTCTTCTCACGCAATTTTGAGAATGCAGAACAGCTTCAGGTGCGATATCCAAGGCTGTATCATCCTTAACTGGCTTGACTGATGTTCTCTAGGCCTTGACACTGGCTTTACAGAATGAAGCCAAATTAGCTGGACATGAGCGACCACTGTTGATCGGAATTGATCAGGAGAATGGACTGGTCACTCGAATTTCTCCCCCGATCGCTGCTCAGGTACCAGGCCCGATGGCGCTCGGCGCCACGCACGACCCAGAGTGCGCCTACAGTGCGGGGAAAGCCACGGGGGAAACCCTCAGTTTCTTCGGGATCAATATGAATTATGCACCAGTGTGCGATATCAACTCGGAGCCTCTAAATCCTGTTATTGGTGTACGCAGCCCTGGCGATGACCCTGAATTCGTGGGTCGATTTGCGAGTGCGGCTGCGCGGGGTCTGCGGGAATATAACATCATCCCCAGTGTAAAGCATTTCCCAGGTCATGGTGACACGGCTGTTGACTCGCATTATGGATTACCGGTAATTCCCAAAACGAGGGATCAGCTGGAGCGTTGCGAGTTGATTCCCTTTAGACGGGCTGTCGCTGAAGGCATCGAAACCGTCATGACAGCTCATATCTCGCTGCCCTGTATCGATCTCACGCGGCCTGCAACACTTTCTCCTGATGTTATGGGGATTTTGCGCAAGGACATGGCCTATGATGGTATGATAATCACAGACTGCCTGGAGATGGATGGAATCCGCTCCACATACGGGACAGAGGAAGGCTCGGTGCTAGCGTTGCGCGCTGGTAGCGATAGCATCATGATCTGTCATACCTTTGATGTGCAGGTGGCTTCGATCAAGAGAGTCTGTGAAGCAATAAAGTCCGGCACAATCGATCAAGCCCGATTGGCAGATGCTTGTCGCCATGTCGCTACGGTAAAGGACAAGTTTTTGAACTGGGACGCTGCTCTTCGGCAATCCAGTCTCGCAGACCTGAGCTCCCTCAACAATAGAATTGCCGAAACGACTATGGATATATATTCCCGATCGACCACGCTCGTTCGTGACAAGAATGGTGTTCTCCCCTGTCAAAAACTTCAATCATCATCTTCCTCTTCCCGGGGACAAGACCCCAGTTGGTGGCGCTGTCGACGGCGAAGGAACAGGGAGGTCAGGATTATATCAGTCCAGCAAATATCTTGATGTGCTGCGGCAGCATAACAATTCCATCGCTGAGCTCAGATACGGGGCGAGTGGTCTGACTTCGGAGCAATGGCGATCCCTTGAAGTCGCCGATGTGGTGATTTTCACTTCGCTCAATGCGAAAGAGTCGCCATACCAGGAGTCGCTAGGTCTGAAACTTGCTGAACGTGTTCGTTCGTTGGTCCATATTGCTGCCTGTAACCCTTATGACTTCCTTGATGCTCCTAGTGTCAAGACTTATATCGCCACATACGAGCCGACCATCGAGGCATTTTCTGTGGCTGCCGATATCATGTTCGGAGCACTAGTCCCGACAGGCGCTCTTCCCGTGGGAACTAACGCTTTGACAAAAACCTCCGCGGTAGTAATGCCATTTGACGCACAAAGAGATCTGGATGATGTGGTCGAAGTCTGGGCTGCAGCTCTGCCGACCTACCTTGTTCCCACTGAAAGTTTACGGTCTTTGATAGTATGCCCTCATGGCCACCATTTCATCGCGCGCATTGGGTCGCAGGTAGTAGGCTTCTGTCTGGCTTACACAGATGCCCACAGTGCACCAAGCACCGTGTATATCGCAGTTCTGGCCGTGTCACCAAGATATCAACACCAAGGCATTGGAATTTCCCTCCTAGAAGAAACGAGAGCATACTTCCGGGCAACCTTTGGCTTCAATAATGTGAAGCTGGGCAGCTCATTCCCCCGCTTTTGGCCCGGTATACCCAGGACCTTCCAGAATCAGTGCAGCATTTCTTCACTCACCGTGGTTTCCGACTCAGTCCTCCCAGTGCCCGATCGGTTGATTTGTACCAGGATATTCGGAACTTCCAGTCGCCAGAGAAGTATATCACTCGTGCCCGGGAGCGAGGCTTCCGCTTCGCGCCATTAAAATCCGAAGATTACGAGGCCTGTATAGTTGGCCAAAGAAGGAACTTCTCTAAGAATAGGGTAAGACTCCTTGTTATCCTCACAGTTATAATTTGTTAGAATCTATGCTAATGTGCTATAAAGAGCTGGGTGGAGGCATACGTCACATTACATCCCGACAAGTATCCGGATAGTGTGATGACAGCGTTCGACTCCCAAGGCCAGCAGGTCGGCTGGACGTTAATGCTTGGTCCATCGGATGCTCTAAACACGTCTTGGGCATTCCCCCAAACCTGTGGTCCTAACACAGGGCTGATCGGTGCCGTGGGAATTGACGAGTCCCACCGGAAGTATGGTATTGGGTTGGCATTGATCTGTCATGCAATTGAAAACATGAAGCAACGTGGCATTGAAGGCGTCTTCGTAGACTGGGTTGCGCTCGACGGGTGGTATGAGCAGGTTGGTTTTAAGACTTGGCGAAGCTACAGACCCGGAGAACTTTGAGTATTCAAAATCGGCATTGCTTCCTTGTTTATTGTTAAGAGTTTACCTCTTGTTCCTACGGATTGATGCACATAATCCAGTCCTTTGACATAGGATCGCTCCCAGATGCGAGCCTGAGCCCTATGATATTGTTGCAACGAGCTTGACTTGTTCCTCTGTACTATTTATTCCCGGCACTATCACCGGAAACCGAAGATACTACCATCAATCAATGCTGATCGGAAGTAGTCATCGCATCAATCTTGGCCCGGCAATTCCGGAAAATTTCAGCCTTCTGCTCAGGAGTCCAAGTCGAATGAGGAATATCCAGCCCCCTTTGAACAGCAGCACGCTTATCAATCTCATCGATCCACTTCTTCAAAGCGGGGAATTCGGACAGATCAATTTCCAAGGAAATAGGAGAACCGCGAACCCAAGAGAAACTCGCAATATCGGCAATAGTATACTTCTCGCCCGCGAGGTAAGGGCTTTCGTTCAACCGCGACTCGAGGACCGAGTAGAGACGTCTTGTCTCATCGACAAACCGCTTAATAGCGTAGTCGGAGCGCGTGTTGGCGAAGAGACGGAAATGATTCGCTTGTCCTGGTAGGTATTAGAGAGGCATTTGAAGCATACGTATGAGGTGGATTATCTGCACGCACCTTGAATAGGCCCGAGTCCAGCCATCTGGAACATTAACCAGGAGGTTTGTTCGACGTGCTCGGGGGTACCAGGGGCGTAACTGATCTTGCGGTCGGTGTCGTACTTGTCAACTAGATATGTCATGATTGCTCCGCTCTCGAAAACGCGCTGCGAACCATCGAGTAGGGCGGGGATGCGGCCATTGGGATTAATCTTCAGGAACCATCTATCCAATACCTTACGTTAGTATGTTGTGACATGTCTTCCTGCGTGGTGGGGAGAAGTGTACTCTTCCTTCTGGGGATTTGAGCTGGAGGAGACATCAAGGCCTTCGGCTATATAAGACAGCCCGAGTTCTTCGAGGGTGATGGAGGCTTTGACGCCATTCGGCGTAGGCCAGCTATATAGGGTAATGTTTGAACACATGGTAGAATATGGGTGAAATCTTGATGAGAGTTGAGATAGTCGCGATACGGTCAATGAACGAGAGAACATTAAGAATAATGGCAGGATGAAAGTAAATGTATGAAGCTTTTGTCCAGGGGTGTACTTAAGTATGCTTACTTGTCAGCTCCCCGCACCCGGGCAAATCCCTCGAGGTACCTATATGTAGGTAAGATGCCGTCATATCACATCAGCTTGAGGCTGAATGCCGAAGTACTCTACATATTGTACGTGGAATAATTGGCTTTGCATTACACCTGTAATTCTTGCCTGTGGAACTACTTAGGGCACTGATATCATCCGTACCAACATTAGGTGGAAAACTTCACGTGCTACCAAAGTATGGACCGGACTTGAGGCCTTTATATGCTTGGAGGACTGAGTTATCACAGTCAACTGCTGATCCCATTACACAGATTGCGATCTAAGATGACATCTTAAAATATCATACTGGAAAATTGAGTGGCCCCATGGGTACCTGATAACCCACTTCAACTCCCGAGGTCATACTCTGCCCTTCACAACCAGCTTAACTATAGATCGAACGCTGTGGGCACATATCCTCAGATAATTCGGGAACAAAGGCGAGTTACCATGGCAAGTGAAACCCCTATCAGTCTAAGATCTGACTCGGTTGAAGTGGATTGTCCCTACCTGGAAAAGGATGGTACAATATAGACCATTGCTTCAATTGCCAAGAGCCTATACGCATGCACGGCACAATTGCCAAAATTTCTCCCCAAAGCTGATCAGCTGGAAGTGATTTTTGAGACATTTCCGGGTGTGAGTTCCGGTCTATCGAAGAGGAAACCCCAAAAGCAATATTGAGATCCATCTTTAGCCCTCATTGAATATGCTTTTATCCCCTGTATAGATTTCCATAGGAAATGTTACTGTCGTTTTCTATGTTAGTCCCAAGGCAACGCTACCATCAAGAAAAAGCAATTTCCGCCTGGGGCTTTAAAACAGTGTGCCGACTCCAGACCAGAGAACGGTGGTAGAAAATCTACGTTACCAATTTGTCAGTCATAATTGCCATAAGCCTGCGAGGACTGTAGATGGAACAATGAGGTACGATGGCACGGAGTATAACATGGACATTTCCATATTTTGCTTTGCCCCTTGCAGCAGGGCACATGGATGGTACTCAAGGCTGCATTGACCATGTGATTTGTTGCAGTTTAAGAGTCACCACATGGCATGGAGCAGGCACCCGGATGGGAGACCCATTTCTGGAAGGACAGATGCTCTTCTATACAGAGTAGCATGGCCCGGGATCTGGCATGGCATATGGCACATACCAAGATTAAAACGCTTGATCGGCAATGCTACCATACTATCAAGAGCCAATTTAGGGATTGGCTCATAGAATAACCTAATACACAAGGGGCACTCTACATCTGACATGTCAAATACATACGAGTTTAAAAGGCGCAGGGCAAGCCGAAAAAGCCGCAAAAATAACAACTCCAAGGATGTGGTCTCAGTATTTGACGCGAATTGTTGTCATGACTCGCATGGGGCGTTGTGAGGTTACAAAAGGATTTCCAAAATCTCCGTATTTCCCCAAGGGATGAACCAACTGGGATAGAAAGGTGTCGATCCCCACATGGCCAGCCACGAGCTTCTTAGCGTTGCAACCCCCAGACACGGCCCGTATGTCGCCGGAGACGGCCACCGCTCTCTATTGATGATGCGATCATCTTGAAATGTACCGGTTTAGTTCAGCAGGCCCCACGTTCCGAGAAACACGTTTGGAGGTTTTGACTTGGCAAAACCGTGGAATAATTGCGGGGTCTGGGGTTAGTTGGTTAGTTGGTCTAACGTCGCCTATTTCGCTCTTAGGAGAAAACGACCACAGGGCGGACCGGCTTAATTCTACCCGCAAATATCGGGACTGATTATCCTCGTAAAGGAAAACCTTCTTATTTCCCACTTTCATGCCGGCTAGACTCCGAGAGTAATTCATCCCCGAGTTGACCTTCCCTATTCCGGAGTAGGACTGCACTAGAGACCTCGCCCCAAGTAAATAGATGTCATCTCCGCAATTTCCCCCGGATTTCCACTTTTCCCCCATCTTTACTGAATTCGGAAAAGGGTCCAATTTCAGATGTTCTTCATTCATCATATTTCCTATAATCAAGAGGATTTAAGACTCGACATCAATATGGTTTCAAGGCAGATTATCTTGGCCTGAAACTCTAAGCCTTGTGAAATCACCGGAAACAAGCCTGAAGGGCAGAGATTAAAGCCTAATTTAGCGCCAATGAATTGACTGGCCTTTAGCCAGATGCCTAAATTCTTTTCGCCAATCACAATTATGACCCCTGCCTAGAGGCGATTACCACAAACCCGGCGCCTTTTGTCGAAGGTGGCGCTCGCCCAGAGACGCCAATATCGAGAGCGGCGATCCCGATACCCCGCGAGAATTACTTCTGTGAATCGGAGTCTTTTTCTGGATAGGATTTGATTGCATAACATGGAGACACAGAATGCCTAATCATCAAGGGATACCTAGGTAAATCTGAGGCTTAGCAGAAGGCGTACTTTCACATTGCATTTGGATCTGGACATCCCGGTTGAGATCGGAAGCCTTGGAAGTCGTCCAGATGCATGTCGCTGTGCTTGGGCCAAGAATCTTGTTCATACTTCTAGTACTTGGCATCAAGGAAGGTAGCAGAGTACTCTTAATGTAGTATTTTGCCGAGACCAAGTCCATTAAATGAAGGCTTAGCGTAAGAGTGGAGAATACTATTTAGCAGGTTTCCCCATGATTCCCAGGTTCATTCCGTTTCGGGAAGTAGATCGGACACCCTGGAAGTCATGACCTTTGGAAAAAGCCTTGGCTTGGAGACTTTCGAGACTTTGACATCTTTCATTCTAGCCAATGAGATTTGTGTCAAACGGACTCTGGGAAAAACGACTCAAACATAAAAAGGTGGCTCCTCCCCAGGTCATGTACTTTACCATTCACGACTTTGTTTGCCTCTGAAGTCTCATCAAACGAGGTACTGCAGTAACTGTGGATTGGCCTTTTTCCAACTCTTCTTCTCCATCAACCTTTGTCTTTGTCTTTCTTCTTTCCCCCACATCATCACATCTGGAGTCACCAGCCTCTAGTTCCTTTATTGGCCATCAATAGCTTGACCAGACCGTCTTCAAGATGGCTCAGGAGGCCATCACCCTGGCCGACTCTGACCAGCGGTAAGATTTGCATCTTCCTTGGGCGCTTTTCAATGCTCATCTCAATTCCATATAGTTCCAGCAATGATCAAAACAGCGCCGAGAAGGGATACGTTGAGCAAGTTGACCTTCACAACAATATTTCTGCCAAGTAAGCTTCACTCATTTAATTCTCCAGTGTATTTCCATTTCCTCTCTCAGTGCACTAACACCAACCAGAATCAAGAACCCTCTAGCCGACTTGACCAAGAATCAGGTGCTCCGCAACGTGGAAGAGTTTGCTGAGGAGTACAACGTGACAGACATCCTTCCCGAGTTGAAGAAAGGAGCGCTAGTTGCGCGTGACCCTGCCGAGTTCGAGACAGTGGCAGACTTGACCGAGCCAGAGCTCACTGCCCTCCGTGACGAAGTGGATCACAAATGGCGCCAGCCTAGATCACTCTACTTCACCATTGCTCTGTGCTCTATTGGTGCGGCCGTGCAGTATGTGGTTCCCTCAGCATGCCTTGGACATATCCCTAACATTAATATAGAGGATGGGATCAGACTGGCTCGAATGGTGCTAACCTATCATTCCCCGATGCTTTTGGTATTTCCGAGGATCCCGCAAAGAGCCCTCATGCCGATCGGAACCTGTGGCTCGTAGGCATCGTCAATGCTGCCCCCTACATTGCCAGTGCTTGCCTTGGATGCTGGCTCTCGGACCCATGTAATCGGATTCTGGGCCGTCGCGGTACAATCTTCATCTCGGCTATCTTTTGTGTCCTTACCCCCATTGGCTCCGCCGTGAGCCAGAACTGGGAGCAGCTGTTTGTGACCCGCCTCCTCATGGGTATTGGAATGGGTCTAAAAGCCTCGACAATTCCAATCTTTTGCGCTGAGAATACCCCTGCTGTTATCCGTGGAGGTCTGGTCATGTCCTGGCAGCTCTGGACCGCTTTTGGCATTTTCCTCGGATTCAGTGCCAACCTTGCTGTCAAGGATACAGGTAAAATATCCTGGCGTCTACAGCTGGGATCGGCCTTTATTCCGGCTGTCCCTCTTCTATTCGGTGTTTACTTCTGCCCAGAGTCACCTCGCTGGTACATTCGACGGGGCGAGATGAGCAAGGCATACCGGTCTTTGTGCCGTCTCCGTAACACGCCTTTGCAGGCTGCTCGCGACCTTTACTACATCCATGCCCAGATCAAGATTGAGATGGAGCTAATCGGCAAAAGCAACTACGTCAGCCGCTTTATTGAGCTCTTCACTATTCCTCGCGTCCGCCGTGCTACGCTTGCTTCATTCGTTGTCATGATCGGCCAGCAGATGTGCGGTATCAACATTGTTGCTTTTTACTCGTCAACTGTCTTCAAGAACGCCGGCGCAAGTGCCACACAAGCTTTGTTTGCTTCCTGGGGATTCGGCTTGGTTAACTTTGTGTTTGCCTTCCCTGCTATCTGGACCATCGATACATATGGCCGTCGGACTCTATTGTTGTTCACTTTCCCGCAGATGGCATGGACTTTGCTTGGCGCTGCTTTCTGCTTCTGGACACCCAGGGAACCGCTCACCTGGCTTCGATCGCGTTCTTCGTCTTCCTATTCGCCGCATTCTACTCGCCTGGTGAAGGACCCGTGCCGTTCACTTATTCGGCAGAGGTGTTCCCTCTTTCCCATCGTGGTATGTTCTCCACTTGCAGTCCTCTCTTTTTTCTTCCCCCTTGACATGGTCTCTAGAACTAACATTGATACCAGAGGTTGGCATGTCCTGGGCCGTGGCAACCTGCCTAGGTTGGGCTGCCGTACTTTCGATCACGTTCCCCAAAATGTTGAGTGCAATGACTGCCACTGGAGCATTTGGATTTTATGCGTAAGTATTTCTCCCGATATTACCACTTTCTCATCAAAATCTCTAACAGTTGGATGTAGTGGTCTGAACGTGACCGCAATGGTCATGATTTTCCTCTGGGTCCCCGAAACCAAGCAGCGCACCCTTGAAGAGCTGGATTATATCTTCGCAGTTCCCACTCGGGTCCACATGAAGTATCAAGTCACCAAAGCGCTGCCGTACTGGTTCAAGCGCTACATTTTCCGCCGGAATGTTGAGCTGGAGCCTCTTTACCAGTTTGACCGTCTTGCGAGTGGTAACGAGAATGTTGCTGTGTCGCGGAAACAGAGTGTTCTCTCTGATCACGTGAAATCGTAGATTAGTCTGGTCAACATGGCTCTGATCTTTAGATCCCGGTTGCGGCTTTTGTTTCCCATGTTAGAGCTGACTCACTGAAACTTGGCTCTGTTTTTATGCTTTTTTCGATATTCAAATGGCGAATGATGCACTATGAGTTTGCAAATAATGAAATTTATCACAAGAAATTACCCTCTTTAGTCATTAGAAGAGATAAACTGATTTCTCGGGCCATCTCACTATGTTATAGCGGGATGGATCTATAGAGAACATCCAAAGTAGGGAAAGTGGCTCCACAAGGTTTCGCAGAATCCATGGTTACTGGAGAATCAGCTGATGTGGAGATATGATCAGGACAAGTTCAAGTTGATATCATTGGTATGATTGAGATGTTTTGGGGGGATAAACAGGTGCAAATGATGGTATCTCACCAGGTGGTGTCATGGGATAAAGCACGAATGACTATAAACGACTATAACTGGAGACATGCTGTAGGCTACTATAGGCTTCAGAGGTGTATCACGTGGGAGTTCGGGGGGGAATGGCGACGCTCATGTTTTGGTCCACTCCCGCCCCTCACCTTTACCTTGAGAGAGCTCATATCTACTTTTCTACTATTTCCCACTTCCATTCCTTCGGTTCGCATTTCGATGTTGTGTGTGTCTACCTGAGCCCAAGAACCTCAGAGTGGTGTGTTTAGGCTCAGTCCTAAGGAAATCTAGGATCCCCCCGTCATCGTGACCCTCCTTTTTGAAAACCAGAAACAAACACACCAGCAGCTGCAGTGGAGCTCAAGGAACTGCTGCGGGCTGCTGGGTGAGTCGAAACCCACTACCTTGACCGCCTCCCACCTATAGCTTATTCTTTCAACACCCACGGGGGGAAAACTTAAGGAGTTCGCCTATCCCCAATTTGGCGTCAGTTTTCCTGTGTTTTCGCCCAAAGTATTTCTTGTTTTAGCTGCGGGGCAGATCTGGCTCTGCGTCTTCGTTGGACTCCCCACAGTGCAACGTCCATATCCCACTTAACCCTTTCCCACCATGCCCTGCTTCAAAGGGCTTGCCGTGAGCATCCACACGCCGGATGGCCCAATCTCCGAATATTCCATTCAACGCCATTCTCGAGCTTCGCGCATAGGCTGTTTTATTCCTGTCCCCTCCGCCCAAAATTCCCGAATCTGGCACCGGCAAAGCGGAACAATCGACCTTCGCTATTTCCGTCACCCTCCTAAACCCCGAGCAAGATGTCCCGTACTCGACCCCAAAGCCGACAGCAGAATGCCCCTCGCCGAAACCGAAAGTGGTCGGCAAATTGCCCGGTGAGCCAGGTCAAATCGCCGGAACGGTCGCACCATACCAGGGCTTGACAAACTCGCCGAACGAGACCGTCGCAGCATACATCTACTTTGACGGAAGACAGAAGGAGGAGGTGGCTACACTGCTGCGACGAGGAGAAGAGACATGGGTGAATTCACGCTGGGTCAGCATTCCGGAAAGCGAAGGCGGGGGAATTGCCGAGCGCGAATTCTTGTTCCGCGAGGTCGGTCTGGAGCGCTGGCTCAATGGATTGGACCTGGAAGGCAAGGATGCCGCAGCCAAGATTGAACGCAGGCGGCAGAAGATGGAGAAACGACGTGCGAAGCGCGCCGCTCAGGAGGATCCCACCGCCATGGATATGGAGGAAAACCATCCTGCCAAGTCCAAGACCATTATGCGATACGGAAATGACGAGAAGTCGCCCCTCGAGGATGTTTCAGACGACGACCTCTCCTCCGACTCTGATGACGACGATCCAATCCCTGAAACAGCGGGCCAGATTAAAGTTGCTTTGTTCCGAGTTTTGGCATCTGGAGAAATCAAGCGGGGCGAATACTCCCCGCAGTTTGATGCGCACGACGATGAGGAGGGTGGTCAGGATAATAGTGGCGGAGGAGACGCCGATGTCGATCATACCACAAGTTTCGCGAAGCCTAAGTCACTCGATCCGAAGACCATTAGTACGCAGACTGTTACTGGTATTGACCCGAGTGATAAACCATACGCTGTCTTCACTTTCATGTACCGTGGTGAACGTAAGTATTCTGTGGATCATTGTCGATGGGAGTCATTTCTAATTAAATGAACATAGGTCAATTGCAGAAGATGGGTATCTTGAAAGATCCCAAGGTGCAAGAGACTCCTGCTGCCACCAAGCGCAAGTCTATACAAGCTGATTTTGCAAACCTCGGGCCTATCAAGCCTGGGGGCTCTGTTGGATTCCTTAATTTCCGGGAGAATGAAGCCAAGCCGCGGAAGGGCAAGAAGAGCGTCGATGACATGGACAGCGATGACGACGACACCGACAACCCCATACTTGGCAAGGCAGACGACGAAGAAGCCAAGGATGACGATCGGTTCTTGTCCCCCGATGACATTAAACGCCAAGGAGAGCTGGCAGAGAGCCTGCGGAAGATTCGAGTGGGTACAATCCTGACATTCTATGAGTTCATTGTTAACAATTCCACAGCTCAAGCGTCAACACTCCGCTGAACCACCTGGAGGCAGTGTCGGTGACTCTGCTGATACGCCGGCTTCTGGGTCTGGATCCACGCCTCCTGCAAATGAGCGCTCGGCAACACCGCCAAAGGCTGCCGCAACTGGACCTGCAGCCGAGCCGTCTCAGCCAGCTGCCGAACCAGAAGATGGCCTTTTCGGTAGTCCGCTGAAGAAACAGCGGGCGAGTGTCTCGACTGCAGATGAGAATGCCCTTAGGCGCCGGATCGCAGAGTCGTCTGGTAGAATCAATGAAGTTCTGGGCTCTTCTGTCCCAACAGAATCAACTTTGACCAGTCCGAAGATTTTCACAGATGGGTTCAGTCTTGCACCTGATCTTTCTGCTGCACCCCCAGCAAATGATGAGGAGTTGTGAGTCTGCGATCGTCGAAAATAGGTTACTTCTGGTTGGTCTGATCTCGAGATCTCATTTGAGCCGTTGGGCCTGACCGGCTACTACTCTTCGCTTTGGAAAGCACTGGTCGTTTTTGCTGTGATCATGGGATCAATTAGGATTTTGCTAGTTGGCGGGATCCTCATTGTTATTTACCGGGTCATCTGGATGGTCATATTGCTTTTCTACAATTACGCCGTTATGTCCACTACCTACAATACAGGGAACATGTTGAAGGAGAAATACATCTGCTGCACCGACCAGGGCAGCTTTATTATGATCTTAAATCTCGAAACCAGTGTTATGGCGGAGAGAAGTAATTGTATACATCGTAGACTATATATGTATGCATTCCAAAAAGGCCCGTCTGACTGCGTTCAAGCATCGGCTGAAACGACTTAAACCCCGATAAGCTTCTAAACCCTGAAGGCTATAGCTGAAACAAATATACATGCACCTATCTTAGACTTCCCAACTACACATCTATGCTCAGAAATATCTTTCTACCTGCATCTGCATTACGCCGTGTTCTGGCTCCCGGCTTTCTCCACCAAGTGAGAGATTCTGCCAAGTCCCAATTGAACCTCAAATTCACTAACAGCTTCAGCAGCCCAGAATAGCCCCCATCCGCCACAAATCCACGATGCCACTCGAACGCTCAACAGACCCTTTGGTCTGGATCGACTGCGAGGTACGTCTGAACACTCTATCTCGGTTCAAAACAACCTCCCACAAATTCCGCAATTCCGCACCACTAACCCCGTCCACAAGATGACAGGCCTAAACCCGGAAACCGACAAGATCCTCCAGATCTGCTGTTTCATCACAGATGCCCAACTAAACCTCCTGGAACCGACCGGCTTCGAAACAGTCATCCATGTCCCAGACTCCACCCTCGACGCGATGTCGCAGTGGTGCATCGACACCCACGGCCGCACGGGCCTCACCGCCGCCGTTCGCGCCTCGACCACCTCCCCCTCCACCGCCGCAGACTCTCTCCTTGCCTACATCCGCCAGCACGTCCCGACCCCACGCACTGCCCTGCTCGCGGGAAATAGTGTTCACGCTGATAAGGCTTTCCTTGCTTGTGCGCCGTACTCGCAGGTGCTGGATCACCTGCATTATCGCATTCTGGATGTTAGTTCGTTGAAGGAGGCGGCACGGAGGTGGGGGAGTGATCAACTGCTTGAGCAAGTCCCGCGTAAGCGGGAAGTTCATCTTGCTAGGGATGATATCCTTGAAAGTATTGAGGAAATCCGGTTTTACAAGGAGAAGCTGTTTGGGTGATGTGGCTGATTTGGTGGCTTGCTTGTCTCTGTTACTCTGAGACATGGGTCTGGGAGCTATTTTAAAACCCTGCGCGTTGGAATTGTTTTCGATTATCTTTCCCTAAGGTGAGAAGATACCATACAATGTACACTCCGTGCATGTACGATGTACTTCGGAAGAATGTTGTTGTACAAGACGCAGTACAAGATGCAGTATTTTGATTCCCCCACGGGAATGATCTGCAGAGGGGCAATTGGAAGAGTACCTTTACGGATGACTTGTAGATTGGACTGAATAGAACAAATCAGAGAACCCCTGAGCTGTACGAGAGTACAGACCTATTTAAATTAATATTTCAAAATGTTGTGGCAAAGTACTAGTACTAGTGGGATGATAAACACATGACGCCAAACATTGGCCCCTCCCCGTGGAGCTCAACAAGTCGGTGAACTTCTCGACCTTCTTCCCCTCTCTTCTTCTCCTTCTCTTTACTACCTCTTTCCCTCCAATCTTATTCCATCATGTCTGTCCAGACGGTCTCCATCCAACCATTCGCTGACCAGAAGCCTGGAACGTATGTTGCTCGTTGCCCCGCAATTGAACTGCTAGCTAACTTGCTCCCAGCTCCGGCCTTCGCAAGAAGGTCAAGGTCTTCCAGCAGGAAAACTACTCTGAATCCTTCATTACTAGTATTCTTCTGTCGATCCCGGAGGGTGTTGAGGGTTCTTTCCTCGTCATTGGTGGCGATGGCCGTTACTATAACCCCGAGGTCATCTCCAAGATCGCAAAGATCAGTGCCGCCTATGGCGTGAAGAAGCTCTTGATTGGACAGCATGGCATTATGAGCACTCCGGCTGCTAGCAACCTCATTCGCGTGAGGAAGGCAACCGGTGGTATCCTCTTGACTGCCAGCCACAACCCCGGTGGTAAGTGATGATTTTGGGTACAACATTGTTTAGTGGAGACTGACCAAAATATCCCCAGGCCCCGAGAACGACTTTGGTATCAAGTACAACTTGGCCAACGGTGCCCCCGCCCCCGAGGGCGTTACGAACAAGATCTTCGAGACCGCGAAGACCCTCACCTCCTACAAGTACCTCGAGGTTCCCGATGTCGATACCTCCACCATCGGCATCAAGAATTACGGTCCCCTCGAGGTTGAGATCGTCCACTCTACTGCCGATTACGTCACTATGATGAAGGAGATCTTCGATTTCAATCTGATCAAGGAGTTCCTTAGCTCCCACAAGGACTTCAAGGTCCTGTTCGACGGCATGCACGGTGTGACCGGGCCCTACGGCGTGGATATCTTTGTCAAGGAGCTCGGTCTGCCCATCAGCAGCACAATGAACTGCCAGCCCAAGCCGGACTTTGGCGGCGGTCACCCCGACCCCAACCTCGTGTACGCCCACGAGCTCGTCGAGGCTGTCGACGCCAACGGCGTTCACTTCGGTGCCGCCAGTGATGGTGACGGTGACCGTAACATGATCTACGGTGCCAACAGTTTCGTATCCCCCGGTGACAGCTTGGCGATCATCTCCCACCACGCTAAGCTCATCCCCTACTTCCAGAAGCAGGGTGTGTACGGCCTGGCCCGCTCAATGCCCACTTCCGGAGCCGTAGACCGTGTAGCTGAAGCCCAAGGCCTGCAGAGCTACGAAGTGCCCACCGGCTGGAAGTTCTTCTGCAACCTCTTCGACGAGAAGAAGATGTCCATCTGTGGTGAAGAGAGCTTCGGCACGGGCAGCAACCACATCCGCGAGAAGGACGGCCTGTGGGCTGTCGTGGCCTGGTTGAACATCATTGCTGGTGTCGCCAAGCAAAAGCCCAACGAGACCCCCAGCATTGGCTCCATCCAGAACGAGTTCTGGCAGACCTACGGCCGCACCTTCTTCACCCGCTATGACTACGAGAACGTCGACAGCGAGGGCGCCAACAAGGTCGTCGGCACTCTGTCCGACCTGGTTGCCAACCGCGATACCTTTGTTGGCTCGGAAATCGCCGGCCGCAAGGTCCTCGACGCTGGCAACTTCTCCTACACTGACCTTGATGGCAGCATCTCCAAGAACCAGGGTCTGTACGCCAAGTTCGATGACGGCAGCCGCATCGTTGTTCGTCTGTCCGGCACCGGCAGCAGCGGCGCTACTATCCGTCTGTACGTTGAGCGCTACGAGGCCGACAAGTCCAAGTTCGGTCTCACTGCTCAGGAGTACCTGGCTGATAACATCTCGCTGGCTCTCTCTCTGCTCAAGTTCAAGGAGTATGTTGGCCGCGAGGAGCCTGATGTTAAGACCTAAGTTTGGTTAGGTTGTTAGGGTTAATGTGGAACCTGCTGGATGGGGATCACCTTTTAATTATTTTGCAGTTCTATCTGAAGGCGAGAAGAATGATCGAAAAGCAGGATCAAGATTAAAAGATTATACATTGGCATGAGGTAGAAACTGCATCTTTATCATAATCCGAGCCTGTCTTGTCTTTAAACTCGGACCTCCTGATCTTGGACTATATGCATTATTGTCTTGTGCCAGATCTCAGCCCGGGGAAGTAAAAATAAAATATCATGGAATCGTAGCATCATAGAATCGTAAATCATCAGATCCTTAAAAAGAAATTACGCCTTCCACGCATCAGCAGAAATTCTCAACTTCTCCCCCCACCAGCTCTCCCAGTTAACAACCCTCTCCTCCCTCCTCGCCTCCTCAGCCGCAAAAACAACAGCATGACTCCGCACCGCCTCCTCAAGCGAACACCCAACAAACCTCGCTTGCGCCGTCTCAACATCCAATCCCCCCTCAACTGCCTCAACCGCACTAACAAACTGCCTCGCAAGCCCAAAGTCCCCACCACCATGCGACTCGTTCTGTCCCGGGGGTGGCTTTGGCACATCGAAGACTTCTGTCTTCTCCGTGGCGAAATCATAGACAGAAATCGTCCTGCTATCATACGAGACCTCGCCAGTAGTACCATACACACGGCCCCGACGCTCACACTGTTTCTCCGTGGGCGCAATCATATGGAAACTGGCCGTTTTAGCAAGCCGATGCGGCGCCGTCTCCTCATCATCCCAAGCAAATGTCACAATCTGATCATCGCAGACATCATTATCAGCTTCGTAGACGCACCGCCCGTACCAAGGTCGCGCAGCAATATCCGAGTCCGGCATCGTACCCTGGTCATAGTCCTCGGCAAGACGGGAGAGGAGCAGGGACTCGGCGGCCTTGCCGCCTTGGGCACGGAACACATCTTCGATATCCGGGCAGACGATGTCAACCGGCCAAGCCGTGTGACCTGTCGCGAGGTGGCGGTCATTATAGATTCTAACTGCGCTGTAGTTACAGTCACGTTCAGCGGGGCAGGAGAGACAGTTTGTAGCGTTGCCTGCGGAGATAGGTTTGCGCTTTCGACGGAACTGCGTCATTGTGCCGGCGGACGAAATCGAGCGCGGGAAGTGTGGCTTGTGGGCTTGTTTGGATGCTGTTTCGGGTGAGGGTGGGGAGCAGAGGAGCCAGAGGATGAAGTCGATGTCGTGGCAGGATTTTGTGAGGAGAGAGCCGTCGCCTGCTGCTGTTGCGCGTCGCCAGTTGCCCCGGACGTAGCTGTGCGAAAAGTGCCACCAGCCTACTGGCTCGCAGTGTTCTAGGGAGACTATGTCGCCGATTACGCGGTCTGTCAAGAGGAGGTTGCGGAGGAGAATATTATGCGGGCTGTAGCGGAGTACGTGTCCGATTGAGAAGATGTTCTTTGGGGCTTGGGGGGTGTTGTTTGGGCCTTCTGGAGGTTGGAGGGCTCGGTATACTGTGAGACAGTCGTCTAGCGAGAGGGCTAGTGGCTTCTCGCAGAGGATGTGTAGCTGCAGTGGAGCGAGAGCTTGCAGGATCTCGACATGCGTTTCGTCCAGTGTGCAGACGAAGACACCATCTACGCCCACGGGAATTGAGGTTGTGTCTGCTGCGTTATCGCCATTGTTTTGGGTCGCCCGCTTCCGTCGCTCGAGTTCCCACTGCAGCCATTGGCGCCAATCTGTGAATTCCTGGCCCTCCTGGGAGGATTCCGATACGCCCCATATGTATCTCCGTCCAAACTCGCACCGTTTGAATGCGTGGGGTTCGGCAATTGCGTGGATTACACCGGGTGTTGCGGTTGTGACGGCGCGAGCATAGGCGTTTCCGCGAGAGCCGGCACCGATGACAAGAAAGCGTAGTTGCTTTGATGATGGAAAGGACGAGCTAGGGATAGTATCTGTGGGCGGTGGGATTGGTTCTTTCATGTTGGTTTTGGTTGATATATTGGGGATGCGGGGATAAGTTGGAGCTTCGGAGCTTTGGAGCTTTGGATCCAGGATGTGTTACTGCGAATAATGGATTTATTTGACTCTGACAAGTCCTACTATCCTTTTAGAACCAAGCACAGAGTAGAGATATATATCAACAAAATGTTCAAGACACGAAAGGTTGCAAGTTGCAAGTTGCAATTGCGGGGAACGTAACATCAGCAACATCAGCCGGGCTCTGATTGGCCGTGTCCAACAATGGCCACTATAGGCGTCTGTCCATCTTGTTCCATCTTGTCTATCTTGTCTCTGTCTCCTTATTACTAGCACTCTCCGATTCGTTTTCCTTGTCGAAAATCATAGCCACCTCTTCCAAAGACCGCCCCTTTGTCTCGGGAAAGAGGAGATATATAAGACCCAAAAACAGTACTAGACAACCAAGGAAGACACAGTAATACTTCCATGCAATCGCCGTAAACGCCACTGGGTTGACATATTGGTTGAAGAAACACGCTACGGCATCAACCGAAAGGGTGACAGCAATGCCCTTCGCACGCAGTTGGAAGGGTAGGACCTCAGCTGGGTACGAGATGAACAAAGGCGCATAAGCCATGTCGTATGCGCCAAAAAAGAGAAATAGGAGTGGAACTACCGCTATTCCAGCAGCGGGAAGTTGTCTTTCGGCAAACAGACCAGAGGCCAGTGTGGACATGGACAGGAAAACGATCATGCCTACTGTGGAAAGAAGCCATAGAACGCGGCGGCCGTATCGCTCCGATGCAAGTGCACCGGCTGCCGCAAGGAGTAAGTTCCAGATATTGAGGCTGACATTAACAGCTGCTTGGTCGGCTGCCTTAGTGATTCCCACTGAATCGAGAATCGGCGCGAGGTAGTAGGATAGGAGTCCTGCGATACTGTTAGTGACAGGTGTTTCACCAGGGCGTTGTGAAGAGCATACCATTTCCAGCCCATTCTTGCATAAGCCCAACCAATACACAAATGGCCAGTCGGTGCATATCGCCCCTTGACGAGAAGAAGGTGCTCCACTTCCTGGTATTGGTGATCTCGGCTGTGATCGTGCTGCAAATCCAACGGTACTCATACTGGACTAGCTCGTCATCCATGTCACCATTCGCGTGGTACTTCCCGAGAATAGCCAGGGCTTCTTCTTTCCTTCCTTTTGATACCAGCCATCTGGGGCTCTCGGGTACGAACGCGATCAAACCTAGAATCTGGAACAACGGATACGATATCTGCAGCAGACAAGGTACCCTCCACGACCAACTGTTTGATATGCCTATTGTTGCATACGTGACCGCTGCCGAGCCAATGGCGCCCAAATTCCAGCATGCATTGTACAGGGCCGTGGCCGTCTGTCGCTGCCGTGGGTGTGCGTTTTCAGTTGCCAGGAGAGGAGCTGCAGTCTGGGCGATGCCCATCCCTATACCCGACAAGATTCTGGTACCAAAAAAGGCCCAGTGGTTCTTGACCGCGGCTTGGATGATAGCTCCCACGATCGCAATGCTAGATCCAATGCCAACGCACGTCTTGCGTCCGAACTTATCGGCAATATAAGAGGCCGGCGCGAAGGAGACTAACGCCCCCAGAGAAGTGGCAGCAATGATCAACCCAACTATATTGGGATCTAGTCCGCCAATGATGGTGTCGACTATGTCATGATCAGCATGGATGTCACCATATCAGGATGGGGACATTACACTCAGGCAGTACAAGCAAGCTATTCACAAGACTTCCAATATACCCAGCCGAAGAAGCAGTGGAGAACATGAATACAATACCCATATTTAATTTACGGAGCCCCCTGTCTTTGATCCAATTCGGGTTTGTGTTGTTCGGTAGGAGCTTGAATGCCTCCACCGGGGGGGTCCTTCTCCATTGCATCTGCCTTGGTAGCCATGTTGTGTGCTCCTTAAAAGACCGGGCTTCCTGGAAAAGGTCAAGTCGAACTGTATAGAGTCAAGTATTCAACCTCATATAGCTATACCAGCTAGTTTATATTATAAGATTATATAGTCCTGGAGAACAAGGGATCATCCACATTCTTCCGACCCAGTAAACCTTCAGCCTTCCCCGGACGATCCTCGGATAGTTCTAGGATAACTGGTCACTACGTACAACATGAATGCACGGAATGAAGGGAGGAATGCAAGATACAACTACCCAAACGGGCAATGTGTCCAGCACGAAGTCCCACCATCTCCGATCACCTCGTCACAGGACCCAAACAAAATCATGATCTGCAGTTCAGAAGAACAAGTATATTGTACGTTATGATAACATCCACCAGCACAGTGATGTGAGACAAAATTTCATTCATCACACTCCCCAAGCAGTGAAGCATACCGATTCCCAAGCCCACAAAAGCCCTCACACTGCCCACCAACCTCCCGCCCCTTATGCAGAACCTCCTCCATACCCCACGCAACACGTTCCGCGCCCACCCTCGCGCCCTCAAGATTTGGTGCCCCGGGCCCAAGCCGGAGAGATGCCATGCGGCCCGTCATGAATAACGGTACGTCATCCCGCCACGACAGATCGTTCGTTAGACACGGGAGGCCTGCCTTTACCTCGATCGGGTATTGGTCGTTCATTGTACGGAGCAGCGGCATCTCGCGCACGTCCGCCCGCACTCCGGTTGCGAAATAGATGTAGTCTATTGCAGGGAGGTCGGGGATTGGTGGGTCGGTTGTTAGGGTCCAGGTCTGGGTGGCTGGGTTATAGTCGTGAGTCTTTATCTCTGTGCAAGGGTGGATTGAGGCGCGGTTTTGAGCTGCGTGCTGCTTTACGATCTTTGTGTAGCGTGGTGTAATGCTGCCACCGTTGCGGGCGGTTTGGAGCATCTCCAGGCGCTCTGGGAGATATTAGCGTTGGCCTGTAGACGGGATTAGGGCTTTTTCAATATATACCTTCGTCGGTGTCGGCGGACCAGAAGGCTGCTTTCTCCCAGTTCTTGTACTTGCCCATCCAGGGCAGACTAATATCGAAGTGTTTGACTGTTATTTGAATGAGACATTGTCCGAGAACTGCTTGTCGGGGACTTATACATACCCTTTAGGCCAGAGCGCATCAAGAACCACACTTTCGTCACGCCCTTGCGAACTGCCATGTCGACAATCTGTGCTGACGACAGCCCACCTCCGACAACGACAACATTGGTCTCCTTCCGCCGCTGGATTTTCTTCTGTACATTGGGACTAGGGAATGATTTGATCTCCGTGCTGTGGCAACATGCTGCAGCACCCTCTTGTTCTGTCGAAGGTTTCCACGGATAAATCTTCGATACACCTGCTCCGCCAGGACCGATGGCCAGCACAACAGACCGGCTGTAAAACTTCTCTCCCGTGGTTGTAGTGATAGTGAACATCTTCGAATCCGAGCTATCGGAGAGGTAATTATATGAGATATCCGTGGCCTCGCGCTGCAAGATCTGGCCAGGCTCATCCAGCCCATACCGCTGGATAATCGACGAGCAATAATCCGAAAAGAGCTCTGTGGAAGGCGAGAAGTAATCTTTCCGATCTCGTTCGTCAATCTCACCTCCGATTGTCCTGTTTACTCAAATGCAATGGTCAGAGCTCTGTTTCAACCACATTCGCACGGGACACCACTTACTGAGTTTTCCCACCCTGTCTCCTCTTCTTCTTCTTATGTTTGCTCATCTCCTTCCCAACACACCCGGAAATCTCCCAGAGATCTGCATCCCGCCCACTCTCCTGCGTATAAGCCAGCATACCATCCCGATCCCCAGGATCAACATGGAAGAACATCGGGCTGCGGAGCTGTTTAATCTCCAGCGTGCGGAACGCATTGTCCCACCGCTGCATCCATTTATCGCCAGAGCCGTCGAGGACAAGTGTTGAGATAGATGATGTCGACGATGTTGATGACGCGGACGATAGCGACGGCACAGAAGATGCAGAGTCAGTCGAGGTGCGCCGTTGCCGGTCATCTTGACAAGGACATCCGCGTTCACTGTCCCATTTTGCGGCTCGCACACCGTTGATCTTGCTATGTCGTGCTTGGACTAGACTCATCCGTCCGCTGTGCTTCTTGATCCAGTGGTAGCGCTGGTGCTCTTCGTCTGTGAAGACTGCTGATGGTGTTTCTTCGCTTAGGCGTGCGGCGACGGCGAGGCCGCATGGTCCCGCGCCGATAATTATTACGTCGCGGATTTCATGGTCGTCGGGTAATTCTTGAGGTGAGGACATTTCAGAATGGCGAGGTAGGGTTAGCGTAATGGTGGTAGAGACGTGGTATTAGTACTTTAGGGCTAGAAGGAATAGTAAATTTGCAAGAACGTACGATTGTAGGGGCAATATCTTTCTTTTATACTCTACTAGTGTAACTGTATATCTGCAATGTCCTCATGTCCTCACAAGTTGACTATCGAGGTACTCTGTCCCCAAGGTCCTTGGGTATGGCAGCATATGGGAACAGCTTCATGCTCCACAATTACCATCACGGATCTGATGAGGCATTGGAGCCGATCTCTGAGGACCTTAGGGAAGTCCTCAATTATTTTGGATTTAATATTTAAACTGGTCCAATATTAATGTTGTGTTAGGTGTACAGATACAAGCCCCAGAGCCTTATTATACCTATCCCCAGTCACCAAACGAGAGATCGCGTGACCCTGGGTCTTTGAAGTAATCCTATACCTGACTCAAATGAGACTAATATTCAAGTTGTATTCTGGATGTATTTTGATTTATCTTTAAGGAAATGTACATTGGAGCTGTAGGAGTTAGTCTAGTGAAATCACCTGAGGACCACGCCCATACAATCTTTTCTACTTTCATGTAGACAACACAAAAAAAGGAAAGAAGAAAAGAAATTAAATTACTATGAAAGAGAATATTTGCAGAGGGGAATAGCAAAGCACCGAAATCCACCAAGAAAAAAAAAGAGAAGCAAAAATATACTCAAAACTCCGAAGCCCATAAAAAACCCAAACCTGCCTCCAAACCTGCGCCTATACAAAGCACTTATTTATGCCACTTCTTTGTCTTCGTCCCGGCCTTCGCCCTGGATGCACCCCCTTCCCTCCGATGCCAAGGATCCAAAGGCCAAACCCAGCCCCTCACCCTCTTCGCATCCCTCCTCTCCCCAATCTGCGGCTCAGGAATCCACTTATCCTTCGCCTCAGCCAGAATTCTCTGACGAGTCATCGCACCAGGTCCGCCAACGTTGAGGTGAGCAGAAGGCTGGTGCGGAAGCGGCACCGACTTCGAAAGCATCAACAAGAAATACAACCCCAGTCCCGCCGTCATAGCCGGCAACGCATCCTCAACCGGCTCCTGGTCCGACGAGTCATGGTGCGAATTGAACGACGAGCTCGATGACGACGAGAAAGATCGCGCACTGATGGGCGTTGCGAGCGGTGCTTCACGCGTGTGTGTTCGCGTGCCCCTCACAGCTGCTGCCTTGAGCGGGATCGATGCCGCGATCTCCAGATACCCGAAGTAGGGGACGTCGTCGCCGGGGTCGCAGCCTGCTCTCACGCAGACGAGCTCGATCTCTGTTATTATAAAGCCGTAGCGGCAGGAATGCTCGCGCATGCATCGCTGGAGGTGGGCGAGTCCGTTGAGGTATTCCACGCGTCTGTGGGGGGGCTTCATTGCGCATGCCGGTGTTCCAGCGGTCGAAGCTTTTCACGATGCCAACTAGTCGGCCACGCGGGAGACCAGCGCTTGTTTGCTCGGTGTCTGAGAGATAATTTGCTAGGAAGTGCGGGTGGCCGTGATTTTTGTGGCCTGTGTTGCGGACGTCTGGGGCGGCGTAGAGCTGGAGGTGGTCTTTGCCTTGGGAAACGGCCAGGGCAGCGTTGATGCGTGGTGCATAGAGGTCGCGGATTAGAGTCACTAGGTCGTGCTCGGATTCCGGGGCTAGGCTTGGTGAGGGTACGGGCACGTGCGGTGTGAGCTCTGCTGGGATTTCGGTCTTCAGGAGCTGGATTAGTCGGCTGTCCAGGGAGTCGAATGTCGCTAGTGAGAAGGAGCTCCAGCTGCGCAGGTTGCGGATGTCCCACCAGAAGTAATCGTGTAGGCCACGAGTCGGAATTACGCTCACGTTGCGGACTAGGTTGATTGGCTGGATTGGTAGAGTCAGGTACGACAGTAGAGTTGTGGACCTTGGGGCTAGGTCTTCGTGGGGACTGAGTAAGACTGGTGAATGCTGGGCAGCTGATGCCTGGCGGTAGTTGTATTGAGGTGTCGGTACTGTCAATGGAGTTTGTGTGTTTGCAGGAGAATGTTGGCCCCCCAGGCGTTGAGAGTATGATGGGCAGGGCATGATGTTTGGAGTGACTGGGGTGACTGGGGTGGTCGGGGTCGTCTGAGCCTGCATTTGAGGCAGTCCCCGGTATGTAGGATACCCAATTCCAGTTAAAGTGGCGGCATCGATTACAGATGCCGACACCGAGCGTGAGTGGCCCCCGCCTGCCTTACGCTTATATGAAGGGGTGATGGTCACGGGCGATGACAGGGTAGGGAAGCTGCCCTGTGTAGTCATTGGCGCCGGTGAGATGGGAGAGGCCAATGCCAAGCGGTCCGCGACTTCGCGGGTGCGACGGCCGGCAGATGGACGCACCGGTGGGTAAGAGATAAATCCAGGAGGCGGGTTCCGTGTATTGGACAGAACCCGACGGTGGCGAAGAGGCCCGCCAGCAGACACTGGCTCAATCACGACGTCTTGAGGTCTGATCTTAGGCAGTAGCTTCGGGCCATGATAATGTCTGGTTGGCGACGTGGTAGGACTGGTATTTCCAGTCATAGTCGACCAGGGAGATGACTCGCTTGAATAAACCGAAGAGTTGGAGGCATGACGACTATGTCCAGAGTCGATGTATTCCTCAAGAGAAAGACGCGGCGGCGTCGTTGGCCGAAAGCGAGCGGAATCGACAGCAGGCATGATAGCGAGGTTGTTGAATAGGTGTGTCACCAATAACAATCTATCACAGGAGTGACAATCGAATGAAGGAACTGATGTCTGGTTGACCAAGTCGTTCAGAAAGGCATGGTCCAGAGGGAGGATGTTTGGATATTAAATGGACATCGACAGAGTCTCAAACAGCCAAGCATGATGCATATAAAAAGATTGACTGACGAACCCTAGCCGATCTAGAAAAGATGAAACATGGAGAAGAGCCCCATTGTAACGCCTACGGAGCTTGAGAATCTTTTTTTGGGATCCTAGTCTCCGATCAGAGGCACATCCACTCGCTGAAACACGAAACTGCCGATATTGTGCCTGAAGACAGGCATGTTGAGCAACAAGGCCCTTGAAACTGCCCCTCCTAGGGGGTCCAGTTCGGCATAGTGCGGTTTCATCGGACTGTCGCGCGTTAAGATGTTACTATATTTTGCATCTTCCTCAATATCAATCTTCAAATTCCCTAAAATGGTTAGCCTGCTGCAAGATTCTCAAGATGTTCTAAAAACGGCAACAATTAGGTCACATTTCCAGGTAATTAACGGACTTGTTGGTGATTCTCCCTGCTTCAGGACTCGCGGGGGTCAGCGGTTAAGGGTTCCAAGAAAGCAGATGGATAAAAATAGCCATCGGGATCATGGAATGTGTGATTCCAGGGTCTGGACGGGGTAAAAAGTCTCTTTGAAGGTGAGGGTACCTGCTCTAGATGCGCCAGTGGCCGAGTGTGATATGGAAGTCGGCGGCTACATGTATGGGATGAGTTTGAAGTACGCGCCGAGCACGGGCGTCATATCCAGTGATTGGATAGCTTGATCTTGAAACTGAGAAATGTCCCATAATTAGCAACAATTAATGCAGTTGATGGGGGGAGTTCATGCAGGAGACATCTACCTACATTATAGTTAGAGGAGAGGTTGAGGTCAAATCGGGGTGATCAACACATAACCGCGCATTGACCCCTTGGTTTCATTGTTAGTGTACATTTTGTATGGACATATGCAGTTAATATCGACTTTTTAGGAGTTATTTGGAAATTTATCTCATTAATTGTCTTTTTAAATTATTTCATGACATTCATTTCATGTGGGTCGAAATGATTAGACACCCAACCGAAAGAGTAAAAAAAGAAACGAAAGGAAAAAAGAAAGATCTCAGATCTTTCCTATGGTCTATGCACAAAACGCTCGGGGGAAATCTCTCTGAACCGTCTAAACAAATTGAACGGTAAAGGCAATCGCAGAACATCAAACTTTAAGCCTTGATCTCGTACTTGCGGCGGAACATCTCATCCACCTCAGTCAGGTAGTAGACACCGGACTTAATGGTCTCGGGGTTACCAGTGGGCTTGAATTCCTTCTTCAGGTGGGCGTGCTCACGGAGCTTGCACATGGCGTCGTACTGAGCAGGCTCAAGGACAGTGCGGGCATTGAGGCGGTTCTGGAGGTCAAGCTTCTCAACCATGCCGGACACATCGCCGACAATCTTGGCGCTGAACATGGAGCTGGCAAGACCGGAACCGTAGCTGAACAGAGCAATACGCTTGGGCTCCTTAGGATCGAAAGTGACGTTGCTGAGCAGACTGGCCAAGCCGCCGTAAACGGTGGCAGTGTACATGTTACCGCACTGGGTGGCAACCTGGAGACCGGGGTTGACACGCTCGGCGAAACGCTTCTTGGTCAGACCCATGAAGGTCTTCTCGACCACCTTGTCGGTAAGTGACTTCTCGTAGTCCAGGTCGCGGAGCTCGGGGGCAACCTCGGCGAAAGCGGGGTGCGAGGGGTTGGCCAAGTAGTCGTTGTAGAGCATACGAGCGTAGGACTTCTGGACAAGCTTGCAGGTAGGGGCGTGGAACAGAATGTAGTCAAAACGGTCCAGAGGGGACAGGGACTCGTCGGTAGCACCGTTGGCACCGTTGGTCTGGGGCTTCAGGGTCTTCTCACGGGCATCGAAGGCCTTGTAGCAGGCATCGACAGCCTCGGTGTAGCAACGAAGGGAGTAGTGACCATCCACAACGGGGTACTCGCTGGTGAGGTCGGGCTTGTAGAAATCGTAGGCGTGGGTGAGGTAGGAGGCACGGAGACCGGGCTCGAAGACGATAGGGGCATCGGGACCAATAACCATGGCAACGCAGCCAGCACCACCAGTAGGGCGGGCAGCACCAGCGGCGTACAGAGCAATATCACCGCAGACCACAACGGCATCACGACCATCCCAGGCGGAGGACTCGAGCCAGTTGATGCTGTTGAAAACAGCGTTGGTACCACCGTAGCAGGCGTTGACATTGTCGACACCCTCAATGTTGGTGTTTCCGTGAGGAGCAAAAAGCTGCATGAGAACAGACTTCACGGACTTGGACTTGTCCAAAAGGGTCTCGGTGCCGACCTCGAGTCTTCCAACGGAATTGGGGTCGATGTTGTATTTGTTCATGAGGGAGGAGAGGACAGTGAGGGTCATGGAGTAGATGTCTGCCGAGCAATATTAGCTGATTGGTCTTCATCTCCTTTTGGAATCTGCCGGTATACATACCCTCGCGATCATCACAGAAGCTCATCTTGGTCTGTCCGAGACCGATGGTGTATTTTCCAGCAGCGACGCCATCGTACTTTTCAAGCTCGACCTGGTCGACACACTGCAATTGAGATGTCAGTATAGATCCCAGGTGATAGAATACGCATGGAATACACATGGAACACTTACCTGAGTAGGGAAATAGACCTCAATGGCCTTGATACCGATGTTTTGGGGACGAGCAGCCATGGTGGGGGTATGGAGGGGCAAATCTAGGGAAAACACAAGGTGAAGAAGGAAGATGAGGGATTAGGGATATGAAGAAGGTTGAGAAGATCAAGATTATAAGAATTATAGGATCAAGAAAATGAGGAAGAGAGGGCAATTGATATAAGAAATGAAAAGGAGTCCGTGTACTCGGTTCTACCGTGTACGATCTGTCACTTATTCTTTTTTTTTTCCCTTTTTTTTCCTTTTTTATCCAAGTGGGGAGATCTGCCCTTTCTCTTACTTTTTGTTATTGTTCCTTTGGGCCGGATAATTGCCTAGGAGATATTATAACTAGAAGTACATGGAGTTTGTCTATGTTGTATGTTGTACGGAGTACAGAGGGGGATATTGTATGTGAAGCTATACCCGTAGACTGATAAAGTGTATAAACCCTCATTAACAACTTCCAACTTCAACACTTTAAACAATAACAAATAACAAATAACAAATAAATAGTAGATAGCACATAGTAGATACTAAGTACTCTTGACATACCTCTTTGCCTCTGCTACGTGGCTTTTAATAAAAAAAAAACCTCAACATCCAAGCTACGGTGTAGAACTGAGTCTGCCATCTTATCGATCTCAGGTCTCCACTCGGGTCTCTTCGAGGTTTTCCTTTTTGGGATCTTTTTTAATGTCTTGATTATATCTTTAGCCTTATTTCTTCTTGCTTAGTGGATCACCTTGGAAAGTACCTAACTTTGACGAGTGGCATCACTTCGGAATTGGATACATATGTATTTCCAAGGTTACGAGACTTGCTTACTAGTATTCAGCATAATGTGTTCAAATGTTCTAATATCTCGGAATTTCGGTCTTCCTTTTCTGTCTATCTTATTCTAATATCCATCTGTATCTTTGATGTGGACTATGTAGTAGATGGAGAACATCTGCATGATATTGCATTTCCGAGGCCCGAGATATATATAAAACAACACTAATTCTAGTCAGACTCCCAGATCTACCTCCAATGACAAGTGGCATGTGTTCTGGTATCTACCTACATATATAGGTAATATTGGCATAACATAACAGAATGCTCATACCCAATCTTGGAAATACCTTGGAAATATCTACCTAGGTACCTAGGTAGGGTAATGCCATGATGTGTAATGCAGTACCGAAGTTGCCAAGCGTGGGTCACTCACACTCCGGGGGGTGTCTGCCTATCTCCTGTCTCTCTCTCCTATACTCCATCGAATTCTGGACATACTCTATTATCGGCATATGATGTCGGACGTCGCTCATTTTCCTTTTTCCAACAGATCATGATCCTCCGGATCTCCGCACCCGCGTTACACCCTTGTTACAGCTCTCCGGAGCCCCGTATCTCTCACAATGGGCGACGAGAAGTTTGACTATCAGGCTGTCCCCATCCCTTCCTATGCCGAAGCCACCGGCCAACCCTCCTCCTCTCGATCCGACCTCGGCGAAGGAACAGATGTTGAACGACAAGGGCTACTCGGTCGCGATCATGCCTCCACCCGCGGCTACCATCCGCCAACCGTCGAATCGGCGCGCACCAGCCTCGATGACCTGGAATCGTTGACCTCACGTTCAGACCGTGAGTCCGTGGAGCAACTACGACAGGAACTGGATCAAATGGACGTGGATGATTCGGCGTCGGCTCCCTTGGCCGGCAGACACGCCCCTCTACGACATCGTTTTTCCAAGCAGCTGTCGAGTCTGAGTCGTACCCTGTCCGCTATCCAACGACCCTTCCAACGATATATGCCCAGTATGCCCAGTATGCCCAGCTTCCGCTTCACGATAAACCTCAGTGACACGAGGGCACGCTTAAAAGATCATGGGTGCATCATGCTTCTCCGAGTGTTCGCTCTTTTACTGGTGGTCACCCTGGTGTATGTGTTCTTCATCGCAGATGTCTTCAACATCAACAGTCGCATGGCCATGGGCCAGTCCTATAGCGCCGCCTCCGTCGAGAACTTCATCCAAGGTCACATCAACGAAACAAATATCGCCGAAAACTTGCGACGAGTCACCAACTACACCCACGTAGCTGGCACGGAAGGCAGCTTCGCACTGTCAAATTTGATTGAACAAGAGTTCCAGAACGCAGGGTTTGATGAAGTCTCGCGGGAGGAATTCCAGGTCTACCTCAACTATCCACGCAAAGATGGGAGGAGAGTCGCAATCATCGATCCACCCGGTCTAGCTTGGGAGGCGAAACTCGAGGAGGATAACGCAAAGGACCTAGTCTTTCATGGGCATTCGAAATCTGGCAACGTTACTGGGCATCTGGTGTATGCTAACTTCGGATCCCGGGAAGATTTCAAGTTGCTCGCAGACAAAGGAATTTCACTAGATGGCTCGATTGCCTTGGTCCGTTACTATGGGACCGAAGCCGACCGCTCACTGAAAATCAAGGCCGCTGAATTGGCCGGGGCTGCCGGCTGTATCATCTACTCTGATCCTTCTCAGGACGGATTTGTCAAAGGCCCGACCTTCCCCGAAGGGCGGTACATGCCAAGCGATGGCGTGCAAAGGGGCGGTGTCAGTATGATGTCGCAGGTAGTTGGCGATGTTCTCAGCCCTGGATGGGCATCCACGCCCGGAGAAAATCATCGTCTATCTCCGGAGGAGAGCACCGGCCTACCCAAGATTCCCAGTCTCCCACTAGCTTGGCGGGATGCACAGATACTGTTGCAGGGGCTTATAGGCCACGGCTCCAAAGTGCCAAAGGCGTGGGTGGGCGGGGTTCCTGATGTGCAAGAGTGGTGGACTGGTAACCAGGACTCCCCAATCGTTCATCTGATGAACCTGCAAGATGAAGTAGAGCGGCAACCTATCTACAACATCCACGGCAGGATCACCGGAATGGACGAGCGTGATAAGAAGATTATTGTTGGCAACCACCGAGATTCGTGGTGTATGGGGAGTGTTGACCCTGGAAGTGGCACTGCTACTTTCCTAGAGATTGTACGAGCCTTTGGCGAGTTGCTCACCTATGGATGGCGGCCGCTTCGCACTATTGAGTTTGTCAGTTGGGACGCAGAGGAGTACAATTTGATCGGGTCAACAGAATATGTCGAAAAGGAGGTTGACGATCTTCGCGCAAATGCGTTTGCCTACCTGAATGTCGACGTGGGCGTTGCTGGGCCCGATTTCCGTGTGTCTGCGTCGCCCGTTTTCGAGCGCACCGTGCTGCAGGTTCTAGGTCGTATATCAGACCCCTATGCGAACGCGACATTGAAAGATCTTTGGGATAAAAAGGGCTCAAAGATCACCCCGCTTGGCGCTGGAAGCGATTATGTTGCATTCCAGGATATCGCTGGTACCTCGAGCATTGACTTCGGATTTGAGGGCGAGCCCTATCCATACCACAGCTGCTACGAAACATACGACTGGATGGTCAAATTTGCCGACCCCGATTTCCAATACCACAAAATCCTGGCTCAATTCTGGGGCCTTCTCCTCCTTGACCTTTCGGAGAACCCCATGCTGCCATTTGACCTGGAAGTGTACGGTGACTCCATTGGCGGATGGGTCAAAGACTTGGACAAATTTGCCAAATCAAAACAGGCCGAGGTGGACATGGAACCCATGTTCAAGGCTGCGGCGGAGATGAAAGCCAATGCAGTTACATTCCAGTCCTGGAACAAGATCTGGCACGATACTGTATGGGGAATGGGTGGGTATGAAAGCAACATCATGGCGGTCCAGCGGGTTAACCATAATGCTCGAATGGCTGCCTTTGATACAAACCTTCTTGACCTTGAAGAAGGCGGAGGTGTAAGTTAATGTTCTTCTTGAACTATCCCTTAGCCCTAGCTAATGTCTTGTACAGATCCCCAACCGCACACAATTCCGACACGTCATATTTGGTCCGGAGCTGTGGTCTGGCTACGACGCCTCGATTTTCCCTGCCATCCGCGACAGCATTAACACGGGAAATTGGACATTAACCCAATATTGGATCGATCGGGTTGCCAACACTATCCACCACGCCAGCGACAAGCTGCTCCACTAATGTATTCTAGCTTCCAGCCGTTTTCTTATTTGTCGTTCTTCTCAGCCATGCTTCATCCATGCTTATCGGATTGATTCCTTTGTCACGTTCTAAATGAGGACTGTACAGCCCGACGCCCTGCCACGTGGTTGTCGGGATACCTCTTTACCTGCATTTTGGGAACTTGTTTTATGCCCGTCATATACCATGCATGTCTTGAGCTCATACTGGACTTAGCAGATTCTTCTGTCGGTTCTTGGTTGCGTCCCCGCCCGCTTTTTCTTGAATGTATCTAGCTTCTCATCCTTGTCCCGAGGGACCGGCGTTCATATGGGGATATATCACATTTCGTATCTAGCTTCTAAGAAGGTTCCAAATCTGCTAGTTCACATGGTTTGCTTGCTCCAAGTGCTCCACCCTTAGGGTAGTACTTAATTTCCCAAAAGGGAATATTTGACTAGCTGTATACACTCGGAACGTAAAGGTAATGATATTGGAACGAGCTTTCTGCCTACTTAAAAAGGAGGGTAGGCGCGCAGGCCAAGGTTTCATTGATGCTCTTCAAACTCGTTTCAAGGTCCCATCGATCTCAACGTAGCTCTCAACTACCAAATCACCCGGAACTTTTCCTCAACAGTCTCTCCATTGGCGTTCAGTGAAGGTGAAGAAATAGAAGGTGCGACAGAAGAGCACCCAATACCTAATAGCGCGGCACACGTGGACACATGCTATAGATGATGTCATAAGCCAATTAAATTCATTCATGTACCTATAGGAAGTAACAGAAGTAACAATAGTCAGACGAATATTCATGTTTGGCTTGTGCAGGTTGCCAGCTAGAATAGACTACCTAGGTAAGGTGTTAGCTCGGCAATATTGTAGCTAATCGTGTTTTGTTACTATATATGTATTTCATTGACTATAGAAATTGATAGAAAGTACAGTGTAGAAATTGACGGTAAAGAAGTTGATATTGTAGAAGGTGGGATGGGATATAAAGGTTAGGTATAGGCAACATTAGTTCCTTTCACCAATTAAGCCTCTTTTAGCCCTTTCCCAAGGTTCTGAAAAGAGATTACCTAAGGAGACCACTAAAAAGGATCTCGGGATCACTAGAAAGACATAATAAGACTACCTGAGTAGACTACAAGACCACTAAGAAGACTACGGCCGTATAAGCGACTATTCTTGTTATAGGAATCGAGATATTGTAGAAATTGACCCTACAGAAGTTAATATTGTAGGAATTATTCACTAGAATCGTAGGTAATAGTAAATTGGCGATTGGTCACTGCTGTAATTGCAGTAGGTCAAACTAGATAGGCGGCAGAGAAGGCTCAATCGCCAACAACGACGGATGATCCGCCAAACTCTGCCAAAACCCAGCCTCGAAATCCCACAGATCCTGACTCAATAACGCCCACTCATCATTCCCCTCAACCCCGGCCACTTCAGACAGAGGCGGGTCTGAATGAGTCGAGTCCAGAAAACGCTGTATAGTCCGCGTAGCCTTAGAAAGTAACGCGTAATTCGGATCTCCGGCTTTAACAATCGTTCCGATCTGCACCTCCGCTACAAATACACTGAGATCTTGTAATGACCGTGTCCGGTGCGCTCGCGGCATGTGCTGTTTCAACATGGCCAGGAGCATTATCCCCGCAGCGGGGAGACCGTAGTACGCAACCTAGTTAGCATGTATGTTAGTTGATTGCTTGCAAATTGGGTGTTTTACAGACAGAGTATCAAATGAATGCCATGCATACCTTCCAAATAAGACCCGTCCCAGAATTAGTGAGCTGATCCCGCAGCAAAATAATCTCCACAACGAGTGTGAGCATCTGACCCGCCGTCTCGATGATAGGCAGATCGGGCTCGGTCGGCGATTTAAGAAACAGGAGACGAAGCAAGAACAGCACGTGCAAGTGGTGCAGTCGTACGCCGGCGACAAAATCTCGCTCAAATGGTCCTTGCGTGCATTTCTTCAGACTGCTCTCGAGTCGGAAGTGGGCTGGCAGGTGTTGCCACTGCGTCTCTGCTTGGCATTGTATTACGCTGTACCATTTCTTGATTAGCTACGGTTTCCATTAAGACACTCGCTGCGGAAATTTCTTTTTGCATACCTTGCTCGTTGCGCACATGATGGATCATGCTTGTCCTGAAGAAGCTCCCAGATCTCCTCCTTCAGCGACGCGCACAGGGCAGACCATCGCGTATCAGCCCGGTACCCGGCCTCCGCGTCCAGGGTCCATTCTGCCGAGCCTTCTTCTGCGTTCCGACAGGATGGGATCTGGAAGTGGCAGAAGCGTTTGTTCATTCGTGGCGGCCGGCCGAGGAATATTGCTATATTCTTGTCTGCGGAGTAGATGCGCGCGAAGGCTGTTTTGCGCAGTTCCTTGAGGAATGGCGGGAGTCCTGTTTTAATTTCGATGTTCTCGTGGTACCCTAGGGCAAATGTTGAAGATATTGCGTCGCCTAGTTTGCGCCAGGAATGGTAGCCTTCGCCTGGTTAATATATGACCAAGTAGAAGCAGTAACCGAGATAGATGGCTAGTAACTAACTCTGATCTCCATCCACGTAAGAATGTACGATAAAGTTCTCGTATTGCATGATCAGCTGTAGATCATTCAGGCAATCTAGGGAGAGGGATATCTCCAATGCGAAGTCACAAAGTTTGGTGCATAGTCTTCGGAGTGTGTACTGTTCTTGCTCGGTGGTATATAGGGACGGAAAGAACGCGATGTCAGTTGTCGCTCGACTGACAGCGGCAAAGAATATTCCTAGCGTCTCCCAACGAGAATTGTGGTCTAGAAATTGAGCTGAGAAAGCAGCCAGGTCAGAGGTATCATTGAAGTGCAGCGGTTGGGCCGAGTTCTGCAAGAGACGACGTGCATAGACCAGATGCCAGTTGTCGTCGTGGTAGGTGAACAATTGGCTTACACTCTGGGCACATTGGTCAACAAAAGGCTCTGCCAGGGCCAGGTTGGCTCCTTTAGCTAGCCAGAACATGACGAGGTCTTTCATGGCGGACAACTTGTATGTTGTCAAGAGATGTTTGAGGGTATCTGCGCCTTGTAGGACGAGATGGTTGTCCCCAAATAAGTCCGAGTGCAGATCCTCTGGTACTGTTTGATGACTACCGTGGCCATGGTCTCCGTCCGGAGTGATATGCTTGAATATAGCTGCATGGCTAGACGACCCTAGATACCCAGGGTTTGGGTATGGATTACGTCTTGGATTAAATGACGGCGGTTCATCTGGGGAACCAAGGCTGCAAATATATTATTAGCCAATTCGGACGCAATCTAGGCAAGTATGAAACTGACCTTTGCTTCTCGACTCTTTTCCGCTTAAAGGGCGTAGTCCTGTAGATACAAATCCCCTTGCTAGCACTGCAACGCGTGCAAACGGGTAGTTGATGGTCGCATGCCAGTTTAGCCTTTCTACAGGCCTCACAGGCAGCCAGACGCGACATAGCTGGTCTGGCGGAGTTTCGCCCGGTAGTGGAGATAAAAAAGAGTGAAGTCGGCTAAGAACGGCGAGATCGGAGAGTCGGAGAATCGGCGTGTCGGCGATAAGATGCGGGGATCCATCTATAAATACTCGGCTTTCTTCTTCTCCAACTTTGAATATCACATTCATCATGACTCAAGATATAAAGCTCGCGGACTACTTGTTTATCCGGTTGCGCCAGCTGGGCGTTGACTCCATGTTTGGTGTCCCTGGTGACTACAACCTTCGCCTATTGGATTTCGTTACCCCCGCCGGCCTGCACTGGGTGGGCAACTGCAATGAACTCAATGCCGCCTACGCGGCCGATGGATATGGTCGCATTAAAGGCTTGTCGGCATTGATCACTACCTATGGCGTTGGTGAGCTGTCCGCTATAAACGGTATTGCAGGGGCCTATGCCGAGAATACACCTGTGTTGCATATTGTCGGGACTCCACCGCGCCCGCTTCAGAGTGCGCGAACGTTTATGCACCACACTTTCTCAGATGGCGACTACCGTCGGTTTGCGAACATGTCGACACATGTCACCGCAGCCCAAGCGAGGCTAGAAGATGCTACCACAGCACCGGAAAGGATCGACTATATCCTGCGCCAGGCGTTGATCCACAACCGTCCGGTGTACCTCGAATTCCCCGATGATATGCCCGATGTGCTGGTGTCGGCTACAAATTTGGAAACAAAGATTTGCATCCCCCAACCACCAAGCTCTACCCAAGAGCCCCAGGTGTTGGCTCGCATCTTGGAGAGAGTGTACAGCGCCAAGCGTCCATTCATCTTCGTGGACGGAGAAAGCACAGGTCTCGGTATCGTCGATCAGCTTGATGCCCTGATCAAAGCAACGAACTGGCCCACATGGACAACCGTGTACGGCAAGGGCCTAGTCAACGAGCAGCTGCCAAATGTGTACGGATTGTACGCGGCAGCCTTTGGCGACAAGCCAGCGCAGGAGTACTTCGAGCAAGCAGATCTGATCTTAACATTCGGACCACACAACAGCGATACCAACACCTATTTCTACACGTCAATCCCAAAGCCCGCAGTGGCAATCACATTCTCGGGTAGCACCGTTCAAATCGAGCATGATACTTACCGCGACTTGTCCGCCCGCAACATTCTATCAAAGCTACTCCAGAGCCTCGATTCCGCGCGCCTAGTCAAGGCCACCGGCCCCCCAAAACAAGAAATCACATTGGACAACATCCATAACACAGACCCAATCGCGCAAGACAACTTCTACCGCCTGGTAAACCCGCTCTTCCGCGAGGGCGACATAATCCTCACCGAAACAGGCACCGCCGCGCACGGCGGCCGGAACTTCAAACTGCCTACGAAATCCCGCATCTTCGGCGCGGTGACCTGGCTGTCGATTGGATTCATGCTCCCGGCAACATTAGGCACAGCGCTAGCGCAGCGCGAACACAACAAAGGCACAGAAAGCAAGAGCCAGACTATTTTATTCATCGGCGATGGGAGTCTGCAGATGACAGCGCAGGAGATCAGCGTGATGATCCGCGAGAAGCTGAACATTATCATTTTCATCATCAATAACGACGGGTATACCATTGAGCGGGTGATCCACGGGCGCGAGCAAGTGTACAATGATGTGCCGTTCTGGAGACATGCGCAGGCGCTGAACTACTTCGGGGCTGATGAAGAACATGCGGCGAATAATACTTTCACAGCGAGAACTTGTGGCGAGTTGAAAGATGTTTTAGCTAATGAGCGGATTCAGAATGGGTCTGGGGTGAGGCTTGTTGAAGTTTTTATGGGTAGGAGGAGGATGTACAGGGGGCTTTACTGTATCTACTGAACAAGCAGCTTGATCAGGAGAAGGAGACAGAGCAGCAGAAGCAGATTTAGAACGAGAAAGATCACTTGTTACATAAATTATATATATGTTTTACTACGGTTCCCTTAAATGGCAGGTGTGATGAAGTAGAATGATGTCTTACTATGATTATTGCGTGTCTCGCCCCTAGTACACGAGATGAGAAATCCTTGGAAGAACAAAAGCAGGCTAAGTGAACGCCGGTTCCCTATGCTCCAGATCCGCCATGCACACAGTGTTGTGAAATTAGAAGAAACAAAGAAAAAAAAGAGGAATGAGCCTAAACATCTCAAGACAGACATCTGCTCGAACATCTCACCGGGAGTCTATAATTGATCTGTGTTGCTGGGAGGGGTTCCTCTCATTTTGGATTTTGGTTATTTGCGAAAGCTTTCAACCCCCAGGGTTGGGGTTTCCACCATGCGATCATTGGGGACGCCCTCATCACGACGACGGGCGAAAAAGCTATCGCATTCGGAGACAATGTGTGCCCACTCCGCCAGGGCGCGGCCTGCATACTTGCTAGGCACAAGATGGTCGTAAGAAGGCTGGGAAGGAAGTTCGGGTAAGGGGGGAGTTCTTGGTTGTAGGTGTCCGTGGCCAGGTATCTGAGGTAGGCTGGGTGGGAGTATCTTGATCGGTGGTGAGACTGTCTGGTTGTTGTTCATCATTCTCGAAGTCGGATTGTCCGAGATTCTCTGATGCTGTGTCATAATCTGACTTGTCGGGAGAACGCCGATGCTCGACGTGCAATTGGGATGCGACGGGGAGACAAGGGGTGAAAAGACGTTTGTTCTTGGTTGGCCATTGCGGGCGATCCATCCATTCCAAGGAGAACTTGAAAAAGAATGGCTGATGGGGAGCTTTGGGGCGGATGATATCGTCCATACTGTTGATCGCAGTTTGTTCGTGATCATCCATACATTTGGTATCCGCAGTCATTGTTGGATCTGATACGGCGTTCTCGGAGTCATCAGAACTGCTGCTGCTGATGCCATCGCCCGAACGTGTGTTCGAAGAACTGCCAAACATAGCCTTGAGTATTCCCCACCGTCTTTTAGATGGTTGACCATCTGAGCCATTGGAGTCGGAAGATCCAGTTCGACGGTGTGACGTGAGTTGATCCGAAGGAACGGGTGGTACGACTCGGTCGAAGCTGACGAAGAGATTGACAGGAGACAGTTGGTTTTCGCATCGGATAATGATGATTCTTCGCCCGGGAGCTGGTGTACAGGGAGCAGAGGACAGAGGGGCTGTCATACCTTCTTCGGCCTTAGATTGGAACCCGATGTAATACTCCCAGACTCGTAGAAGTCGATCTGAAAGGATTTCATAGACGTTGGAGTCAAGTGATGAGGGTTCAGTATTAAACCGTCCGACCCTCCAACACAACAAACGATGGAAATAGGCTCGCACCATTGGACTCCAGTGATTGAAGTAGTGGTAGAATACCGGCTCATGCAACAAGAAGTCCAGACAGATAGATGCCTTTCTTTCTTCTGTAGCGGTCCAGGTACCCCAGATGCAGAAGAGGAAAGAAAACACCCGCACCTCAGTGAGCGAATTGTGGCTCTGCATCATTTGGCGACAAACATCGAGCCAAAAGCCCCAATCAAACAATTCAGTTTCAATCGACTGGGCGTAACGTGTGATGATTGGAATGACCTCCTCAAGGAAGTCACACAACAAAAAGCACGCGTTATGATCAAAGAGAGACGTTTTCTGCGCTGCAGCTTTAATTATGCCGCAAAATGACTCGGCAAACAGTAAGCGAGCACGATTCGGTTCAACGGACGATTCGGACAGGAGGTCTCGGAGAAGGATAATCAAACGATTCTCTGCCATCGACCGATGAGTGTTGCTGCCACTTCGGAGATGCTGGGTGGAGGCAGAAGCATCCGGCGACTCGATGAAATCATCAAAGGTGATTGCAGCAGCTGTATGAGGGTTGTCTGACCCCTGTTGTGCTGATTGCTTGTAGATCGTGTCCTCCAGAACGAGCAGGACTTGCGCGTGAACCATCAACAAACCAGGTGCTAATACCCGCTTCGCCTTTTCAGTCCCCGGGGGCAAATACTCAGCATACAGAATGTGAATGTATTTGACGAAGACAAAGAAGAGATCCGTGTCACGGCCAGCCCACCGTGCGATCCACGGGCGGTTCCAATTAATAGGGGTGGTGTTCAAGGGTAGCTCGGGTTTCTGGCGCAGATATCGCAATAGAGGTGCTTGTGAGTGAAACGCTAACGGACGGAGAGCTGGCGGAAAGCACGTAGCGAGTTCTTGTGTGTATACACGCATATTTCCAGTACGTGACCCAGCTGATTCTGACAATATGCGTCGGAACATATTGGGAGGCGTGCTCCACAGGCGGACCAGGATCTCGGACACTCCAGGGCAGAAGAAAAAGGCATATGCACAAACCTTGCCGCAAAAAGCGACCAGGCTAGCTGGTGCGTGTCTCATGGACATTCGTTCGACCACGAATGCCATCTGAGAGAGCAGATTCTGGACAAAGATGTTTCGGATGTTGTGATGAATCGATTCGACCAAGAAATCCGAACCCGAGGAGCCTGACCCATCCGATGTTTCCGACACTGAGGTTGATGCATACTTCAATGATTCCGTAGGTCCGCTACCATTCTGCGCCATGGGGAAGGGGATGCGCCATTCCGGTCGAGCCATGATTCCCACGACAGCTTCCAGAAACACTGGCCTGTCGGTTCCCGAGATCGACTGGTTATGCTTACCATTGAGCATCTCCAACATCCCAATCCACCATTTATTGAGAATATTAACTCGACGATCCAGGTCTTCTGGCCTGAGATTCTTGCATGATGCGTGGAGGTGATGGCGGCTGAGAAAAGGGAGGAGCGAGGTGCGGATGACGTTGGCTTTCAACGAGCTAGATTTGGCTTGAAACCTGTTCTCTGGTCAGCGATTGTGACGTGAATGGCTAAGGTGATTGCACATACTTTTGGAAATCCGCCTCCAGGCCACGGAAGATACCCCAAAGCTCGTCCTTTTTCCGTGCATGATCGGTGCCTGCATTCGCATACGCGGCAGCAGTTTCTGCAGCTCCCTTGGGCATAGGTGGTAAGACCGGGGTCGAAACGGAGAGTGACGCTGTGAACTTTTCCATTGAGGACCGGTGCCGTAGCGAATTACCAGATGGACTGCTTGGAGAGCCGGGGCTGTCTTCGGGGCCCTTGGCCACAACAGCCAGCATCGGCCGGCGCGGGCGTTTGTAGAGGATCGTTCGCCTGCGGGACGGTTGTGTCTGATCGTCTTCTGTTTTTTGACCGGTGGATCGACTTGGGGATTGTGAATCTTGCTGTTTAGACCTTTTCGCCGACGGGGACGGAGATCGGGAGGAAGAGCCCCATGGTTTCCTTGCAAGGCTGACTATTCTTCCAGACATTGACCGACTCTTGGATGGCCTCGCAGCGGGCTCGGGAGCCCTAGTCTCGGGCACAAATGAATCCGTGTCCTTCAAATCCTCTGATGACGATAATGTGAATTGTGAGACGGAGGCTTGCTTCGACTTGTCCTTGGAACGAAGAGAGGTTCGGCGGAGAATGTCCTTCCCAGCAGCCACGGTTTCTTTTGTCGGTGATTCTGCCAATGCTGGAACGGCATAATCAGAAAATGTGCGTCTTAGGCTGGATTCTGTCGTTATTTGACTGGGAAGATCGGTATAGCTGGCGGCACGAGAGAGCTCGGAGTTCTGGTCATCGTTCGTCTCGTGTGAGGGTGAAGACATTGTCTAAAGGATAAAAAGAGGGCAGATCGGTTATTGAGGGGATTTCTTGGTCATTTCCCCGTAAATCTCGGGATTCTGAGCGTAGAAGAGACCAGCTCCTCTGTGCACCAGGAGGTTCCAGGTCGAAGTGGTCAGGCGCGCTGCATCTGGGGAAGGGCAAACAAAGCACAATCACAATGCTGAAAGGCCAACTTTGAGAGGAAATCAGGGATCAAGAGAAGGAGAAAGAAAAAAAAAAAAAGCAGTTATCCAGCCCTGGAGGAATAACGGAGTTTCGGGGGGGGTGGATCGATTCGTCTATGCAGCCGCTTAGGTAGAAGGGCGCCACTCTGATTCAGCAAGTGATCGGCGGGGGAATCTCCCCCAAGGGCGTCTGCACAGGGGTCCGGCAAAAGGGTGGGGTGATTCAAGAAGTGAGGGAGAAGAAGGAAAAAGAAGAGAAGTTCAAATACATATATGTAGTTCCAAGGGGGACCCGAAGTTTACAAAATACTGTATTTGTTCAATTTGTTCATTTTGCTCATTTTGCTCAATTTGCCCTATTTTTTTGTCGTTAATTAACTCGAGACAATTTTAACATTATCTTATTCTCTACTATTATAGCCTTATTATAGCATCAAATCCCATTTCATATTAAAATCAGCTTTTAGCTGAGACATTGACTATTCTCCTTTTTTACTCCACTTCTTCCACGGATCTCTTCTTCTTCTCCTCTGTAGCCATCATGATCGCGTAATACTGGACAGTCTCACGGCGTCAGCTCGAGTCCATGGTCTCTGCACGATGCAGCAAGTCTGATTCGTAAAGACATCGGGCTCTCTGTTCAGCCCCAATTGCAAGGTCTTTACAGGCGCTAGGGCCAATCGCATCCCTCCTCTCCGGAACATAATAGGGCAGAATTCACCGAGTGGGCTATGACAGCTGTACATTGGTACAGAATCTCTCGTATCTCATTCTTGGCCATGGAATGTTATAATCTCGCCTCGCTGTGCTCCGATGGTATCATCAACCCTAATTACCCATTATTTTGGCATTCACAAATTGTATTTCACCATGGTTCATGTAGACTATCAACATACGGAGTACGGAGTATAAGAAACAACATTGCTTTTCACACGGCATCTGGTTTAGGGTCAATTTAATTTCCAAATTATGGAGCTATTTCCACTAGTAGTACCTGTCATAATCTGCCCTGTAGGGGGTGGTTGAGCCACAAGACGCTTGCAAAGTGAATCACCTTACTTCATACAGATATAGCCTTAGTATAAATGGCGGTCTATCCCCGAGTGCCTTTATTTTTTCTCGTATCTACAATATAAGAGTTCCCGGGACACGAGTGCCCTGTTGACACACCATGAATCACATTGCACAAGCCCTTGGCGACCAATGTTTTCATTTCGCCCCCTAGGAAAATCAGGACCGAAGTTGAACAACAGTAACTTGGTGGAGTATGCATGGTTCAATAGCGCTTGTACGGAGTAGAGTATGTTGTATTTCTTTTTACTCCGGAATTTTATTAAACTTTGGCTTTAGCTTTGCCAGCCATCCCGGTTCCAAGGTTGTTCCCTCCAGAGGGGTTGATATCAAATTCTAAACAAGTGTGGAAATATGATGTATCAGATTAATTGCAATGCTTTCACGAACTTCTGGTCTGTTCCTGACATCTTGATCTACGGATCAGCTGCAGCAGTACGGAGTAGATCCTAATAATTTATACCAATAGTTCCCGTATATGTTGTATAGACATCCATACTCCGTGCATCTCATATACTTCCGAGCTCTGACCAGATATCGCATCACTTATTGCATGAACATGACAATAAGCCTGCTCAAGCCATGCAGTGCACCTTTTCTACACCAGCAGTCCCATGTCATGTTCCAAGCTATGTATCTGGTTGGTTCATCTTGTCTATACACATCAACCTTGGAAGCGATCCCAATTACTAACCAGTAAGACAGTCTCGATGTGCCAGGCATTGATCCATTACCCGCAGCTCTCGTCGTCATAGTTTGACTGCTAAGATTCGATCCATGGGGCTGCCTGTATTTGTGTACTCCATCACGTAGTCAACCATGCAGATCAACCATCTAGGTATTTTCTACGTGTACCGTTATTCTTGAAATACTACCTCTGAATACTACGAATCTCGTTCTTGGCGTTCAAGCGAAGTGCGCAGGATATCACGAATGAGCTTTACTCCGTACTCTACTTAGTACTCACCAAAGACAAGTCTTGTATCAGCCACCCTTCCAGAGTGAAAACCATTGCTCTTGAGTCCTGCTCTGGACAAAAAAAGAAAAAGAAGAGGTGAGAATCAAGGAAAAAAGATGTCTCAACGTTCAAAAAATGTGGTCTAATTTACAAGCTTTAGGACCTCGAGAGGCGGCCACATTAGTTGCATCGGCATTTACAGCCAGCCTTCCCCCCATATCTCCCCAGACCTTGCTAAATGAAAAAAGAAAGAGGAATCTAGTGGGCAGCGGGGGCCTCCTCTTCCTCCTCGAACCAGCTCTCCTCGGCAGGGGCGGCCTCGCCAGCGGCGGCCTGGCCTTCGACCTCGACCTCCTGGCTCTCGTAGGCGGACAATTCGCTAGCGAGGTTGGCCTCCTCGGGAGACTGGGGGGGCTTAGGGGCGGTGAACTTTTGGACGTGCTCTTCAGCGTCACCAGCCTTGAGGGGGGTGGGCTTGTATGCCTTGAGCTCGCGGAGGTAAAGGTCCTGGACTGGGTCGGCTGCGGCGGATTGCGGGTTAGCAAGAATGCGACCGATGGATATAGTAGGGACATCTGGGTCATATTGAAGATAGCCCCTAGGTAGAGTACATACCCTGGCGGACGGCGGAGGTCAGGAAGGTGCGGCGAGCGACCGAGACCTGTGCCCGAGAGGCACGGGAGAAGAGGGTGCGCTGTTTTTCACGTTAGTCGAGGGTCCAAATAGACAGCTGCAGGTCAAGTATTGCTCACCGAGGCCCGGAGAGACTGAGACATCATCTTGACTGAGGGTGTAGATGAGGAATGAGGGGGTGGTTCTCAATAGAATAGGTCTGATCCGTCTTTCCGTGAAGTTGGAGGTTCAAACGACTTCTGTTCGGGAAAGGTCTCTTGGCAGATGACTCAGCCGGGCCATGTTGTTCCCGAATCTTTCCTGGGCTTCAACACTGCTTGAGCAAATAATGTATTAAAACAAATAGTCGATGGTAGTTCAATTTATCTATGAGAACCTTGGAAGTAATAATTGGTTAAGTTAATTCATTGTGGACAGTATGTTATTGATGGAAAGACACAATTCTCTGAACTTACTACGCAAATTCCCGAAACTAGCAGTATAGGAATATCTGAATTCCATGACTTTAATGTCCTCTATCACCTTATCCTGCAAAGATTAAACCGAAGGCCTTCTTTTCCTCTCTCGGTTTGGTCTCTCTACAGCAAACGAGAACAAAGAATCTTTGTTTGCTTTAAAAAAGCTTCCTATACTTCCTCAGCCAATAAAATCGCACGGAAGTTTATCACGTTCACGTGACATACTTACTAAGCCCGATTTGGCCTGCGCCTTTCTCGGGTGCCGCCTATTCAAGTCCTCACCATTGTCTCCTTCATCCTCCCCCAGTCCTTGGCTTCTTCTTTCCCTCCTCCTCAGCCTGTCCCCATTTTCGTGAGAGACTTCTTGCGGAGACCTTGACTGGTTCAACACGGCTGGACAAGCTGAGGCGAGATCTCTGTTCCACTTTCGATACAAGAAAGCGCAGATCGGTGAAGTGTTTTCCACGACTGGGGGTGACTCCTTCGAATCTCGAGGGCTCTGGCCTGTGAAAGGTAATGGAAAGCTTCTTTGTTCGAGTATATCTTGGCATGACATTGTTGAAGGACCAGACAACGTTGCGATACGGGAGACAATGAATTTGCTTTGGGCTGAGCTAACATGACTGCACAAAACAGTGGCCTTGAGCGACTCCTTTTTTTTCCATTTTCGACCATTTCCCTTGCTGAGGGATCCTCCACAGGTGGCCCGCTTTCGTTTTCCTCACTACAGCCGCCAAGCTGTATTCGCCACTTCTCCTTCGCTATTATACTCGGAAATACCGTCTACCCCGTATAGCCCCAAAAGTCCTTGCAAGGCGTTGCCACGATCGATACGCAAGTTACCTGAAAACTCAAAACATGGCTACTACTCTTGCGAAACCCGAGGGCGCAACTCCTTGGAAGAAAAACCTATCGGCTCATCTCGTTTGCCCCGAATGCAAAGAGGATCCTCCGAACCTGGAATTCCCCGACTCTCACGAGACAGTTTGTGGTTCGTGCGGACTTGTGCTCGCAGACCGTGAGATCGACTTGCACTCTGAATGGCGTACCTTCTCCAACGACGACCAAAATAATGACGATCCCTCCCGTGTCGGAGACGCCTCGAACCCTCTTCTCAACGGTGCCCAACTGGAGACTTCCATCGCAAGTGGAGGATCTGGCCGTGCCCGCGACCTGTACCGCGCGCAAAACAAACAGTCGGGTGAGAAGGCGAACAAGGCCCTCCTAGCAGCTTACAAGGAAATCGGTGCTTTGTGCGACGGTTTCAACATCCAGAAGACTGTCGCTGATACCGCCAAGTATCTATTCAAGATGGTCGATGACGCCAAGGCGTTCAAGGGCAAGTCGCAGGAAGTCATTATTGCCGGTTGCATCTTCATCGCATGCCGCCAGTGTAAGGTTCCTCGTACCTTCACCGAGATCTTCGCAGTGACCAAGGTCACTCGAAAGGAAATCGGTCGCATTTACAAGGCTCTAGAGAAGTTTTTCACCACTCAGAATGTCGAGCGCCACAATGCTGCTTTAGAAAATGGCGAAACTCACGACTTTGCTGGCGATTACAATGCGACTACTTCGACCAAGCCAAGCGATCTTTGCAATCGTTTCTGCAACCTTCTCGACCTCCCTTACCAGGTCACCAGTGTTTCCGTCTCCCTTTCGGACCGTGTTACCGCCATGGGCGACTTGGCCGGACGTTCTCCGCTGTCTATTGTTGCGGCTTGCATTTACATGGCTTCGTTCCTTATGGGCCACGGCAAGTCTGCCAAGGAGATTTCCCAGGTTGCGCATGTCAGTGATGGAACCATTCGCGGTGCTTACAAGCAATTGTACGCAGAGCGCGAGCGCCTGGTTGACCCTGAGTGGATCAAGGGTGGCAAGGGTGATATGGCCAAGTTGCCTGTGAGCTGAACAGAACACAACATTTGCTTTGCGATCACATTGATGATATCCACGAAGAGGGACATGGCGAAGCTGCCTGTCTATGGAGAAAAAGAAAATAAAATAAAAAAAGAACATCTGCTTTTCTTGGGACACATGGATGTCTCTGAAACGTCATCGGATCACCTCGCTGCAATGTGCTTAGAATTTTATCTTTGGTGGATATTGGCTTTGGGACAAGCCTGAGGACTGCCTTAATTTGTACATCATCATGGATAGCTAGATTGAGAAACAATCAATCGTCTTCCTATGAGTTTGATGAATGTATATGTAGCCTGATGTCCATGCTTCACTGGTAGGTAGAGTAAGATCTGAAAAGACGTGTTCTACTACTAGAAGGTCTTTTGAATACTTTCAGGATTCCACTTGTCTATTTGGGTACATCTATGGATGTATATGTCGAATGATAAACAAGCCCGGAGAGCATAAAATACAAAGCCAATAATCAAACCATGAATCTCAGCGCACAAAGGAAAGCCATTTATCTATAGCTCTGAAGCAGGCACCTGGACTGAACTCAGAAGCCAAAAAGAAACAATGATGAACCAGCCACCATCTCACAACCTAGCATCTCATAGCGGACATATCACCAGCACAGCAGGATACAAGCAAGGGATCAAGCTAGCTCTTGAAAGCAGGTTTAACCGTGCCATTGTCGCCAGTAGAGTTATATGGCTTATCATACCGCTCCTCCATATCCCGGTTGTGCTCCTTCACATCCTGGGGAAGATCCTTTTTCGGGTTCCCCTCTCGGTCTACAAGAGGCGACTGCTCTCCCTCGTTGAGGGTAGGCTTTGCTCTATTGGAAGGGATTGGGCGGTTGGATGAGTCTGGCTGGGGGGTTGTGGTTGTGGCTTGCTCGGGGTCATTTGAGGATTTGGTCGCAAAGCTTCGGTATAGGGAGGTGCGAGATGTTTGGGTGCGCGCTGCAGAAAGAGCTGTAATTGGGGACCGGGCCTGGAATGGAGTCTTCAGGCGCATCAAGGTCGTCATTTTGAAGATTGGTGGGCTTCAGTTTTATTGGAGGTATTAAGGTTGGATATGTTGAAGGTAGGAGAAGGCTGGAATTGACATTCTATTTATACAAGTTCCCTACGAAATCAGGTTTCCGGGATTGGCATCGCTCATTTGGTGATGACGTACTTCGATGTCATACTGGACACGCCAAGAGTTTCAACAACTTTATATCTATATTTACTATTGTGGGAAGATGTGAATCGAAGTTTCTACAGCATCTTTTCATCCTTCTAAGTGTTTTATTATTTGCTCCTATTAGGGTGACAAAGTTGAAATTCAATCCATTCAAGCCTGAGCTAACAATAATGTTAACTGCTAGTGAATCCCGCACGCAGGATTCAGCAGTCATCAAGAACAAAGTTAACAATATCAACTGACCAGTCCCCAGTAGCGAAGTAACAATAACAATATTTGGTATCTTTGTAATGGACAAAGTCCTTCGAGGTGAGTTAGAGCATGCCATCAGCTGGAATGTCGCCATCAATGCCCATAAACACCAGTTTAGCCCAATGGACTAAACCACCACGCGCACACATCCATAATATTGAAAGCGGACCAATGTTCAGTGCCCGAATGAATAATAGAATGGAGATAAGAAAACAAAGAGAGAAAAATTCGAGTGGCACACTGTTAAGCATTACTCTAACTGGATGCCTGCAACTGTGTCTTGCAAGGGATTTGATGAGCTTTCGGAGTGGGACGATTATTTTTGAATGTCTTCAGCTGCGGTTGCACTGAATTTCCCTACTGAGGCCGGGGTTGACTCCGATGGTTGCTCAGAAGAACTACCCTCACAAGTACGGGATTCGTGCGAGCTGGATAGATCACGCTGCTGTTGTTTCTGATCAAGCTCTGCTTCATCGAATGGGTCTTGCTGACCACACACCGTCTCATTTCGACGATATTGAGGTGAAGGGACTTTCTTGTGCAACCTCTGGTCCTTGCGCTTCGGGCTAGGGATGTCCGTTTGCTCCGAATGAACCTGAGATGGGGGATTTGAGGCATTGGCAGGATTTCTCGGCGAAGTTTGTAGTTGCTGTTGGGGGTTTGACCGGGATTGCAGGGAAGACCTGGGGTGAGATTTCTGAGAGGCTTGCCGTCGTTTTTCTCGCGTCCCAGAAGGCTTGTCGGCGGAACCGGCCAAATGTCGAGAGGCCTCGGCCTCCATCATAGAGCTCGTAACAGGAAATGTGTGTTCGAAGGCTGTATCCAGCAGTTTCATGCCAGCGGACTCCACATTCTGGGCTTTCAGCTTGCGCCTCAGCTGCTCTCGCTCAGAGCTTATCACTCGGTCTCGATGTAAACGGGATGTGGCTTCCGACCACCGAGAATTGCGTGTTCCAGGCAGATAGTCTGTGGCCGCCAGTGGTAAGTCATTATCTTGTGCTCGAGGAGGCTGTCTGGAATCCTGCTGAATCGGTTGGGGTGCAACTGGGAGCTTTGCAGGCGGCGCAGGGTCCGGGTTATTTTGCTGTTGGGAAATTGTAGGAGGCGCAACAGATATGGGACCCGGTGTAGACCACTGCCTCTGCAGTTCAGTCGCCAATTCGAGATTGCCACCGGTTGTATAGATGCCGTTAAAGATTAGTGGGACCAGGTTCGGGGGGACACCGGCGCGCAGGGCATCTGACAATATTGACTGCTCGATTCGCCGCCGTTCCAGTACCAAGGTAGCCTGGTACGTTCTTTCTTCTTGCTGTCTGCGCCGGTCTTCTTCCATTTTGGTGTGTAGCCACAGCTTCATGTCCTCTGTGCCTTCCCATGCAGCAGGTAGCGGGGGCAGGGGGGTTGGCATTGACAGCGGAGGTGGTAGGCGATTGAGCCCAGATGGCGGGACCAGGTCTCTGGATGAGCTCATCGTAGGATTTGGAGTTGTTGGAGAGCCCTCTATTGAAGGCCAAGGCAGTAGTTGTGGGAGGGACTGGGTCTTTGTTTTGGTAGACTCATGGGTGTCCGTTGTAACGTTCGTGCGCTTGGATGGTTTTGAGGTGAGTTTCATGTTGCCAGTAGATCAGCAACGCTTTGAATTGCATAAGCATAGGGGATGACAGGAACCTTAGGCACACCAGTTGGATTCCATGAAGATTATGCGAGTACCACGGGAGGAGAGAGAGCAGGTGATAAAACGAGAGTGAGAGAGCGAGAGAGCCCAAATAGGAAGCGACATACTCTTTACAACAGGAATTACCTAGGTAGAGGACAACAGATACTCAATGTAGGTATATCTTATTTCCAAGGTTGGGAAATATGGATAGGATATGGAATGGTCATGTCCCACTAAGCAATTACATTCCAAGGTTGGTACGAATTTACCAAATGTCTCTCTTCACGTATTCCTTCCTCTTTCCTCTTCCAATGATCCAATGAGGATCTGATACCCGTGGACGGCTTGACGCTTGTCATGCAATGTATCGATGGCCTAATGAGGCAATTGAATCCATCTGGAAGGCGCGATGTCCCTGCCTCCTCTTCCTTTATCTACTATCCTACCATCTCTGATCTTCCCTTACCACTACCACCGATCGATTTATATGCAATGATCCCATATGAAAGGGATGTTCTGTTAATTGCAAAGAGGATATATACTCTCTTCTTCTCAGTCTGAAGAAGCCCTTGTTCTATGAAATTTGACCGTGTATGCCGCTGCGGAACCCTAATTCGGCTAGAATCCTAGGCATCTCCATACAATTACTTCGGGATTCGGCCTGCAACCATATGTAGGGCTTCTGTGGTATGTGGTGGGCTTTCCCGCATAAGCTGACGTGCTGTACAAAACCTCGTACGGGCTTAGAACATTACATGTAGAACATACCTACGTTCGGCCCATACCCTTGACCAAGGTGGCCGTGGCTTTGGCTTGAGCTATTGGTCAAATCGAAGAAAACACCAGCCATCAATACCTAGGCATCAGTCTACAGTTACCAGACACATTGCTATGGATGGAAGAGATTCATTTAGAATATATACTCGGCGCATCAGCAGATGCCCACATGGAAGCCACATCTAGCATGTCCCCCAAGTTAAAAGAAAAGGGCGCAAAGGGTATCCTATCGCTTTATTCGCCATCTTTATCTCACCGCCTCGTTACCGGAACAGCGATAGCCTGGAAAAGGTGGCAGGTCGCAGGAGGAGCAGTGAAGTAAAAGCAGTCATCATGCCTACTTTGTTTTATACGTCGCCACGATCGAATCGACTCAAGACCTCAGGCGGGACAGTGGGGATGTACTTGCGGGCCCGTTCGCGGTTCGTGCCACCGAACCCGGCACCGTAGCTGACCAGCATGTCTGTACTGGTTGGAAGAGAGAAAGGGAGGAAGAGAGTGGGGTCGAGGAAGACACTATTACCGGCACCTGAGCGCTCATCGTTCCTGGCGGTGGCCATGCTTCCAGGTCGGGATGATAGAGCAGCGGAGCCTGGAGATGTTTCAGTGTCAGGGGATGTGGGTGCTGCAGAGGGCTGGTCCTTCGGCGGTGTCTTCGGACGGGCATCTGCTGCTGCCTGAGGACCTGGTCCAGCTGCTGCCTTTGCCTTCTCTTCTTGGATTTTCTGCTGTTCACGGTGTAGAACTCCGGGATCACTCTGCATGTCGAGAAGGAACTTCATTGCTTGCTTGGTCAGGCCTTTCTCGCCGACTTCTGGGCGGTATGACTTGACTGCATGCAGGAGCTGGGCGGGGAGAGTTGTTGCAGTTGAAGCAGGGTTGTTACGAGAGATTCGTGGTCGTCGCCGAGCGATGAGAAGCATTGCAGCCATTGGAGGAGTTGAATGACCGGGGCTAAATGCCGACGAGCGGCATCAATTGTCGACTCTCCAGTGGTGTTGGTGGAACCGTTTTCGTAGTGTTCTGGCACCCGGTTGTTCGTGCGCGCCCAATCCTCTAATGACGAAACGTTCATGCGGATCTGCATCGCCTTCGTGCGCGCCAAGTAACGTTTCGTGCTCATGATTCGGTTAAATATCTCGGCGCTGAGCCAGTAGAGAAGTTGAGAGAGGACCTGGGTTGTGATCACTGAGTGAACATCGTAGAGATCAAGTACAAAGAGGGTCGATGATAGTAAAGAGGTGATGTTCCGAGGCGAGACTTGTGCTCGTCGCCGCGGTGATGGAGGCCGGAATCGCTTCTCGTCAGGCTCGGGGTTTTTGTTTTTATTTTTCCGGAACAGTTTCCACTCGTTTTGGAAGGCGACATCCTCCAGTCCAGGGATGGTCTCATGGTCCAGCATTGCCGCATCCAGGACTTTGTTCATTCGACGCTCGGCGTCACGAATAATGAGAACGAATATCTCGTTGATCAGCTCCGCCAGGTGGAGCTGGAACTCGACGGTAGATTCCACTAAGCCCCCATCCTTCTTCAGGTAATGGAGTAGAAGCGTGGCATTTGACAGCCAAAAGGCTTGCATTGTCATATCCCACTGGTAACGTTCTACAACGTCATTGATCTTTTCCATTGCAGACGACAGCAGAGTTGTGAGCAGCTCGGGGCTGGCATGATAGTGCGCGTAACGGGCGCTGAGGAAGAGAAGATTTGCAGGCACTGGCTTTTGGGAAGGAGACCGCTGGGGAGTCATGTTGGTGATGATAATATCCAAAATGCGCTCTAGCTCATGGTCCTGGAAGACAAACATCTGATCATTCAGACACTTGTCCCAGACAAATTCCTGTTGATCTTCCTCGAGTTCATCGTCATCGGATGGCTATGATAACCAAAAATCTCGAATCAGTCAAGGCAGAAAACTTGTTTTCGCGATATAAACTGACCTCGAATTTCTCGTCAAGCCCTAAACTGGACAGATCGACCTCCAGATTGATTGCGCTCTCTTCCATCATCATTCGCCGTTTCATCTCGCTCTCCGCTAGCTCTTCTTCGAAACGACCATGCGCCAATCCAGCGTCATAGAAGTCATCATCGATATTACCCGAGCCAAAGCTGTAACCATTTTCATGCAAATATTCAGAAATCTCACTACCGGGCTGGGCAAAATCAAAAGCCCTACCACCGGATGAGGACTTGATATCCGGTGATGCCCCATTGTCAAGAAGAATCTTCGCTATCGTCTTGTGTCTGTTGGTCATGGCCCACATCAATGCGCTCCACTGGTTACGATCCTGTCTGTCGACGAGGGCACCGGCCACAATGAGCGCAGCAACAACTTCCTGATGACCCTATTATAACCAGTCAGCCTCGCATCAGTATTATTTCGCGCATACAAGTAACTCACAAAACAACTGGCATAGATCAACGGCACAGTCCCCTCCTCGTCGGGCTTATTGACATCCACGTAAGTCCTCGCCTCGCCCTGTACCAATCTCCGCACGCGATCCACATCGCCATTACTGGCCGCCATGTTCAAGCTCTTCTGGAGTATGTCGCGCTTCTCGTCATCGGTCAATTTCTCGTCGGCGGCAATCGTCTCTTCGTCTGCAGTGAGCGAATCCACCTCCCGATGAGCAGCTTGGGCAGCAAGCATCTCCATTAGTCGGGCGTCATTATCTTCGATATCGCGCCCATAGTGAGCCCGTATTTCGTGCTCACTGTCGTGCGAGTGATCGTCGAGCGCTAGGCTAAAGGATAAAGGTTTCGCGGCGACTGGCGCGGTCAGGTATTGTGATTGACCTGTTCAACGATTAGATCTTAATACTTGAGTGCTCAACACAGTCGGTGAAATTCCCAGCATGTAACCGTCCAAGGTAAAATAGTTTGATCTCCCGCGTCGGGGAAACGGGGAAATAGTTCCGCGGACACAAGAGCACTCACCCTGCCAAGCATCGTACATTTCAGTCTCCGGCTGGAAGACCGGGACGGAGCGACGATCGTCCAGTGATTTGGGTAAGTCATCTGGGAGTTCCTGTTTAGCTTCGTGGAAGGACGCGGGGCTGTGGTCGCTGTAGTCGTTGGAGTCGATGGGGTCCTCTGGAGCCCCGCGCCGCGGTTCAGTCATGTCCATCGTGGCGGGCTGGCTGTCCGGTAGAGTGGTGGCGGGGCATCAAAGGGTTTGAATTTGAGGGGAGATTGAAGAACCCTCTCTGGGGATATGTTCGGTAAGGAGGGTACCCTCCACGCGTGGAAATTGGATGTTGGAGGGAGGTGGTGGTGATGAGTGGTGGTGGATTTGGTGTTCCGTTCCTGGACCAGCTCCCGCGATGTGGCCCCGAAGACCTCGGGAGATATGACGCAGCTTTGTAATTCCTCCGTGGTATTTGACTGTTGGGATATGAAATCAATGTGGGCAAATATCTTGATAAGTTTTTTCTTTTTCCATCTTGGTTGAATTTCGTATTTTCCTACTGATATGTAGATCTGGTAAGTAACAAACCCCCATTCACCTGCAAAGTATGTCTTTTTTTTGGAGTCTTACAAGCGATTTCCCTCTATAGAACATTGTATGATAGTAGAATCTGCTACTGATACTATGGATACATGTATCTTAATTGAATAGCATCAGCTAAGGAGAATGTCATGGGGGGGTCATGATAAATAGGGCAGAATATGGGGGACTAGGTACATAGTATGTAGGTATAAGTATATGGACAATGCAAGTGTAATAGTAGGAAAAGGTGACAGAGTTCCAGTGTTTGATAACAAATCTGAATACAACCTTGGAAGATTATCTTCATCTGCAGAAATGCTCCAAATATATTGCTATCCATAGAGGCATATGATATCTCAAACCCACGCTTTGATGCAGAAACGAACACCCAAATCCAGAAGCATAGGCCTATGACTCTGACACGGGACAAGAATATATATATATATATATAAAGATAAATAGATGAGAATAACCATGGTGTTGGAGAGCTTGCCACGAACGGCTAGGCGACTCTGGCAGGTTGGGAATAGCAGCGGCGCCCAGGAATTTCTGGAACGTTTGAACGCCCACAAGGCTAAATATGAGCACGGCTGGATAGCCAAGGTATGTACAAGGGTTCCTGTCATTATGGAGTGGTAGATCCAAGCCACGTATAGACAGATGTCTCCATTTATAGGGACAGTGTGGCTCA